CAGAGCTAACCGCATGCAGTGCTCCCCAAGGTGAGGGCGGGAGGGGAAGTGTGTGAACCCCACGGTCCCCTGCTGAGAGTGGGCAACAAGACCCTGGGCAGCGGTCCTTCCCCATCACTCCAGTCCATTCCAGGAACACAGCTGCCTCAATGGAGCTCCCTGACACTGTAGCCTTCCCAGGTCACGAGTAGCTGTGGCCCTTTCAGCCGCTCACAAAGATGAAGCCAGCCCTGCAAAGTTGGCTTTTGTCTGAGCACTGTAAGTCACTATGAATCCAACTTTAAAAAGAAATAAAGTCCTGGCACATGACCCCAAGCTGTCTGATGCCCGCCCCCCAACCCCAGCCCCACCATTTCCAACTGTCAAATAGTTCTCCTTTCCTCCCGCTGTTACACACTCAAGCTTCCCCCTCCTTGAATGGTCTCCATTCACGCCTCCCCAGTAAATGCCCCTTCTGTTCTAGAAGCTGCTGTGGCAGCCCCTGGTGGATGAGGAGGCAGACAGTGTTTCGAAACATGTTGAGTGGGCTTCACCAGCCTGGCATTGCTATGTGGCTAAATTCCCCTACCTGGGCCCCTCTCCGTGGGAGCAAGGAGCGTGGGACCAAGGCAAGGCTCTATTTCTAGCATGTTCTCCAGACAATGCTAATGTCCTCAAAACATGAAGATCAGTAACTGTCTTGAGTCCCCTGTTGAGTAAGTGCCAAAGTCCAGCCAGACCAGGAAAAAAATCTTAAAATAATCCAACGGAAACCAAAGGAACTGCCCATGTGGGCACTGCAAGAGCACCCAGAAGATCTGGATTCTAGTCCTGGCCCTGAACTCAAAAGTGGTATGGCTTCAGACATGTTACTCCCTTCTCTCCGGGTCTCTTTTCTCATTTACAGAAGAAGGGCCATGACATCATCTTGGTGTGACAAGCATAAATTCTACTCCTGACAGATATCCTGTGCAGGGCCACCATGACAACCAAAGAGCAGAACAGGTGGCCCTTGGGAACAGGTACCTGCCACTACCAGGTGAAAGGTCAGCAGTGTTAGTGATGGCCAAAGGAATACAGAGGTCTTGGGCCAGGCAGGAGCCAGGGTTGGTGCTGGAGGCTTGGATGAATGGGGCTCTGTGAGGAGCAACCCCAGGTGCCAGCAGTGCCAGTGTCACATACAGCAACTTGGAATTGACTCCTGGGGAGGGACAGGCAGAGAGGGGAGAGGCACACAGGAAGTGGGTCTGGGGACCAAGGCTCCAGCTTCAGAACCAGGCTGTAGGGTCCATGGAGACAACAGAGATGGGGTGAGAACACACAGTAATGCAATCAGAGAACAAGTGTAACGCAGGTGCCGGCACACTTGCAGGAGAGGCATGTTCTGGGACACGATGGATGAGCAACAGCTTCCCGGAGCTGTGCCACAGACAGCAATCTGCAGCAACCTCCCTTGGCCCCAGGAGCACTCCCAGGCATTCTGGATCCTGGACTCAGGGCAAAGCAACCAGCTCCAAACCCATTCCAGGCTTTGGCCATCTGAGCTGGGACAGCACTGCACTGTAGGGAAAGCGGCAGACTAGAGGCATGAGCTTGGCCCATACATGGCCCACCTCTGGTAGAGGTGGGTGGAAACACAGGCAACAGGTTCAGCAGGAACTATCTTCCAGTCCACAGAACGCCCTCGGTAATTGCACATGGCCCCACTCTCTGCTCTCTGGGCCCCTGCTACCCAGCCCCTCCCTGTGGAACATTGCCAATGAGAGGAAAGAAGCCACAGAAGCTTCTAGGCCATTTGAAGAACTGGCCAGTCTGACCCAGGAGATTGATGCTGTTTGGTTGAGGTTAAGAGAGAACTTAGGAACTGGAACTACAGAGGGTTGCCGTCCACAGTGCAGATTGTAAAAATAAACAAGATGCAGTGCCCTGCAGCTTCCTGAGCGCTCTCCCCAGCAGTTAGCTGTACCAGGAAACAGCCCTGGGAAGGCCACAGTTACCTTTATCTTCTTTTACAGCCAAGTCATGCGGGAGAGGCTGGGCCAATCCAGGTCTTGGCGGGACCTGCTATCTTTGCTAAGGTCCTAACCTCATCTTCCCAGGGGACGGGAGTGCCAGCACACCCTGCCTGACCCTGGCACAGGACACCTGGGTGCAGGCGTTGGAAGGCCAGGGAGCAGTGGACAGCAAGGCTGGCGATTCATCAGGCCAGGAGAGGCTTCCACTGGGCCTCCTTGCGGGAGCCTGGCCCTGCCCACTTCCTGCTGAGCCCCTGGATTCCTTCCAGTGCTGTCCTCAGAGTGGGGTGCAAGCTGTTTGCTTTTTCCTGCTGCTCTGCTGAACCCCTTAAAGCATTGGCCAGTCATAGGGACCTGACTCCAACTCCAGGCTCCATGCACTGTCTCCCTCCCTCACCAAGCCAGACATCCGCAAGAGCACCCCTCCATGACGCACGGCCACTCACTCCCAAGCTTTCAGATTCTCTTTATTAAAAATCATGGCTTTCCTTTTGTAAAAACAAACACTTTGCGGTCAGTTATACAGATAAGGAAAAGTGGTGACAATTTATCAGACACTCAACAAATTCCAATACTTTACAAGTTCAAACTTAAATTAACTAGTCGTTTTTTATTTATTCTTATTATTATTTCCCCACAAAGTCACAAAACAAACTCTGGTCCAGTTCAAGTAGAATCTAAAAGCTCCTGGCCTCAGACTGTCCAAAAATGGGAACCTCTGATACTAGCAGCTCACGCCGATGCCAAGGTCACCGAAATTCTTCAAGATTATTGCCTTGATGTGCTTTATTTCAGGTGCTCTCAGTGAAGAGAAAATGACACAGGCCTTTTCTTAAAATAACCCAGCACAGAAATGAAATCTGTCACTCAAGGGGGCAACTTCACTTGAACTTTTAGGGGAGACATTTTGAAGTGTGTGACAAAACAACGAGGAAAAGCTTTTCTTTTTAAAATCCAGTCGCTATTTCCTGGTAGCCTTCAGTGCTGTATGTGTGTGACATCATGTGTGTGAATAGAGTGCAAATGATAGGGTTGTTGAAGTACCATGCCAATGGAATTGTATAAAAATAAATAAAAATAAATTATATATATGTACACGCAAGTAGAGACTTGTGGAGGATGTAAACCAGAAGGCCCTGCTTGGATGCACAAAGCACGTCTCCCCTATCCCACCCATGGGCTCCTCCAGTTCCCCTGGGAAGAAAGAAGGGTATCAGGTATCAGCAAGGGAGCCATTACCTCCCTCAGGAGTCTGGCCATCTGGGTTTCCATGGAGATGCCATTGGGGGCAGTGGAGGACGGGGCAGGGTGAGTTAGTAAGAGGTCCCAGAGTTCAGCAAAGAGGCCAAAGGGCTGGCCCAGCTTTCCTGGGATCCGGATGAGGAGGAGGCGCAGCTGGAGGCGCAGGTGGAGCTGACACTTGCAGAGTGGGCCAGGGATGGAGGGTTGGCTGAGCGCAATGTTCAGACCCTTTACTTGTGAGCCCAGCCTTCTGGAGGCCCCCATGCAGCCCGAGGCCGGGCTCAGCTTCCTTGCATCTTCCACCTCTCTTGGCAGCACCTGTCCAAACAGGTCAGTCTGCTTGCTGGAGCTCTGCTTCCACGCAGGTTTCCAGCAGCTCTCTCTTGGCAGTGACCAGGCATGCATGTGATCGCTGCGGGTTCTCCAAGCCTTCTTCCCGTGCCTCCATTTCCCCCATGCCTTGCTGGTGTTGAACTTGATGATCTCTCCACTCCCCTTTCATGGGCGCAGAGGATGGAAGGCGCAGGATACTCTTTCCCATTGACAAAAAGGAAACTGAAGAAATCAAACCCCTACACAGCCCCTTCCCAGAGTCCTTGCTGGGACCTCCAGCACAGGGGGACAGGGACTTGGGAGCTCTTTGCAGCATGGTGACATGGTAACTGGCCCAGGCGCTGAGCCCCGGGAGCCTTCCTCTGCCCAGGCTGGAAAAAGGCCCTCCTACAAACACCTGCTCCTGCCTCCTGTGGCCCCTGCTTCCTGCACCTCCCCTCACACTCAGGGGCCATCACAAGGCAGTCCACTGAAAGGCTGGTGCAGGCACCATGAGCGAGCCCAGAGCAGGTGCCACCTCCTTGGGACTGTCACCAGAGCTAGTGCCATGGTTGCAGACTTAAGTCCCCAGCAGCAGCTATCTTAGCTGGAGAGAGAAGGCATTTCTGATTTCATTTTAAATTCAAGTGTCTTGAGAGCCAAGCTTATCATCCAGGAGAGGACAAACCCAGAGACCTCCTGACTCCAGGAGATTTGGAGGATATTGATCTGAACTTCTGAAACATAGTGGTCTTTTCTTTCTGTGCAAAGAGCACCGCAGTTTGCTTTTAAGGCATGAGTCAGGCAGACATCTGCAATCATCAGGGGGATGAATAGCGTGATCACAACTGGGGCTTTTCCAAAAGTGGGGTCAACAGAAGAAAGGGGTTAGGAAGTCACCTGCAGCTTCCACCACCTGCAGGGGCCTCCTCAGTCTGCCCACGCACAGACAGGTGAATTCCAAGCCGGGAGCCTGCTGACGGTCCCTCACAGTGGCCCTGTGGATGCAGGCATCTCTGGGACGACCTCTCGCATTACTTGGCCTGGCTTGTTACATCCTATCAAGAATCTGAGCACTGTGAAAATCCCTGAGAAGTTGGATTTTGAAAAAAACGAAGCGCTCTGGGGCACGAGAGGAGGGAAGGGGATGGGGGCAGGAGCGGCAGGGAGGGGTGTGAGCTGGAGAGACCCCTGGAGAGGGGCCAGAAAGCATCCAGAGGGCGTGGGGCATTGACCTTCCGTGGTTGGCATGTCACCAAGGGTGACTTGGTTCCTGGAGCACGCTGGACACATTACCCATCTCTGCAGGTCTTTCCTTCCTGTAGGGGTCAGGCTGGCCCCAGAGGAGAGGAAGGCGTGGGCCAGGCCCTCCTCGCCTCCCAGCAGCAGCAGCAGCAGCAGCGGTGGTGGTGGGCTGTGGTGACGGCAGCATCGGTAGCATCAGCGGCAGCATCAGGGCTTTTTCCTGTCAAAGTGTGGAACGATTCCGCTGTCCTCAGGCCTGGGGCTGCCTCCCGCCCCCTCGGGCTCCTTCAGGCTCTCCTCGGCCAGCTGGGACAAGTACTTCTATGGTGCAAAGAAGGCAGGGAGGCATCAGTAGCAGCAGGTGGAGAGGTTGGGGTGCGTCCTGTGGGGAGTGGGCCTCTCCTTTCCCTGGCCCCCTGGGATCCTCCTCCACCTGTGGGACCTGAGCTAAGATCCTCCCTTTTCACCAGCCTACAGTTAGTTTACAAGGTGTCTGTGACTGTTGTAGGAAAAACAGAAAGTCCAGCTATGAATAATAGCAAGCACTTCCACAGCCCTCATCCTGAGCCAGGAATTGTTGTAACTGCTTGGCTTCTATGGGCTCACTTAATCCTCATAGCGACTCTGCCTGCCTCTCAGAAACAGCCATCTCTAAGCAGAGGGAGGGCAGCTGGGACGGCGAGGGATGACCAGCCATGGCCATCAGCAACCAGGTGGCCCAGAAACGCAGGCTCCCTGGGAGACTCTCATAACCTGTTTCCTGCAAGGGCATGCCGCAGGAAAGTCCTGGAGCTCCTTCCATGTATGTGAACCTGCACCTGTTAGTTCTATAGCTGGCGCTGCTTCTGCACAACCCCGAGTAATTGCTGTGATGGACCACCAGCTAAATGTGGCATGCCAGGTCAGGGGACTGTGCAGTGTTTGCAGTGGGCCTGGTGTGATGAGATGAGGGTCAGCAAGTATACAGATTACTACATCAGGGGTCTGTAGAGTTGGGTCCAGCACAGTGTGTAAGTTCTGCCCCAGGTTCAGATCCCAGTTCAGCTGGCAAGTTACCCAATAACTCTGACATTGATCAGGTGAGGGGAGCAACAGTGACTACTACCACAATGAGAATGGGGTGCTGGGTAGCTCAAGAAAGTGAGCACTCAGGCACATGGGCAGCTCTCCTTTCCTGCCCACCTAATCTGTGACATGGGAACAATGAGCTTATCCTCATCTCGGCTCCTGGGATGATGCTGAGGCTAGATGAGGGGAGTGTGTGAAAACCCCATGGCTGCCTTGTGGCTCCACAGAAGGGACTGGTTGCTTTTCAGGGTGATGGGGTACAGGCCCTGATGGGAAGGGGACACCGCAGATGCCTTTGCTGTGGTTGGCTGACACAGAGCCCAGGCTCAGTTTAGCAACAAGCATAGGTGCACTGAGCAAGGCACTGGGTGTGGGTATGCTCTCTTCTTGGGCAGCTAGTGCTGAAAGTACCCACTGTCCCAAAGGACTGACCACGGCAGGCACAGTAGGGCTAGGTCGGAGAATGCACCTCCCACCAGCTGCCTGCCTTCAAGAGCCACCCTGAGCCTCCTGGTGGGTGCTAGGCTTACAAGTTTGCTGGCTCAGGTGTCAGCTAGCACCAATTTGCTTGGGTCTGAATTTTCCGCTTTTCACACACGTAGCTGTGGTGGGTGGGTGTGGTGGGTGTGGTGGTGGTAAGTAGTGTAGACAGAGGCATCCTGTCAAGGCCACTGATGGAAAGCCTGGGAGCAGAGGTGCCTGGCTCCACAGCAGGTGCTCAGCATGGGCAGCATGGGGGAGGGGAGAGGTGTTTAGGCAGCATCTGCACCTCATGTGCCTTGGAGTCCCAGGAAGGGCTCTGGCCTGTGTGGGTGTGGGAACAGGAATCGGCCGAGGCATTTGGCCCAGAGGCCCAAAGCACAGCGAAGGCCACTAGCCTGGAGAAACTATGAGATTGACAAGCCTGGACTCCTGCTAACCCCTTGGTGACCCTGAGCTGTGTGGTCTCATCTCCTTGAGGTCGTTGCCATGCCACCATCACACCAAGAATGCCGGGTGAGACAAAAGATTCCCACACCAAGACATCGGAAGGCAGTGGACAATTTAAGATGCAGACTCTAAGGCCCTGCCTAATGCGGTGGGCAAGGGTGGTCCCAGAAGCCACACTTTGAAATGATGCTAGCTGCTAGGAGGATCAAAAGGAGGAGAGAGAGAGGAGCAGGTGGCCTCCACAGCCCCTAGCAGCCCGGCTGGCCTGCAGGCTCCACCTTGCTGGGATGGGAAGGCCGTGTCCTCGGGCCAGCTGACTGTCCTCAGCTGGCTCTCGGAGCCCAGTCTGACCTCCCTACTCTGGGTCCAGTGGGCCCCAGTCACAGAGCAGCAGCTGCTCGGGGAGGGAAATCAAGAGGCTTAAGTGACAGGAACCAGGGCACAGCCAAGGGCAGTCTTACAAACGGCGACCCAGGCCAGGACAGTGTGGGGGTCAGTTTCCAGGACCAGCTTAGTAGAGTAAAAAGAGGAAAGTGATTAAGAATCAAGTGACTTAGTCCTGAGCCCAGGGACTGCTCTCCACAGGACCTGGGTAAATCACACCGCTCCTCTCAGCGCCTGTTTCCTCGATTATAAAACAAAGGAGTCAGCCCATATTTGCATGCAAATCATCCGCAGAACTTTCTCAAATGACATATTTGTGCCACCTCCCTTCCAGTTCTGAATATCTGACCCAGCACATGTGCTTAGAAGCAGGTTCTTAACCTGTTAAGACCTGTTGGGTCAGCCCCTGTTTATGCATTTAACTGTACCCAAATCATGTGCCTGGAATTAGGGCACAGATACCATGGGAACTTCATGACTTGAAGCCTAGAGGGACAAACAAGTCTGATTTCTTAGAGTAAGTGCAAGGGATGGCTCACAATACTCACTCTGGGTGTTTGATGTGCCATTCCTTCGGGTAAGATGCTAAATCGTAGCCTACACCAGAAGGTAATGATGAAAGCCACATCCTGATAACACTAAAGGTTGCATCGGTAATACACCGTAGAGCACCTTGCCATATTTTGCTGATTTTAAGACCCTTCTTTAACACAGTAATATCTCTGTAATTGACTTGCATTTCACAGTCAACGGATTCTCACCATTTTACTTACAACACTTTTTCCCTTGTTGGTTACCAAAAATGGCACTGTAGACTGGAAATAATAAGTATGTAGGATATTTTTATGTTACTTTTTAAAAAAATTATTTCTATTTACTTAAAAGGTATAAGGGTACACATATCAGAGACGTGGGCAATAGAGATCTACCATCTTTGGGTCACCCCACAAACACCTACAACAGTGAATACTAGACTAGGCCATGCCATACAGTGGCCAAGAACTCAACCAAGGTCTCCCCCACGGTTTGGCACAGTCACGTACTGGAGGCATCACCTATGATCACCCAGGGTGTGCATCCACAGGAAGCCAGATCAGAAGTGCAGTGGGGACTTGAACTAGACACTTCAGGATGGGCTGTGAGCATATTAACTGTTGAGCCAAGTGCCTGCCCCATGTACCTGACTTTTGGATATACTGTGTCACTGTTTGGATGTGCTGTTTGACACTTACACCAGAATGGGAATTCAATGAAGATAGAAGTTTTGGAACTATACCTGGTATACAGTCTGTCATCAATATCTGCTTTATGTACCAACCTTAAAATTAAATGTAACAGTCAGTTTTAACTGAGGGGCCCGCCATCAGGGGACAGAAACAGAGCTATCTGTATCTGGAGCATCCAGGACCGGTGGGAAAGAGTCAGCCCCAACCAGTGGCCAGATGAACAGTAGTCTAACTCAAAATACAGCAGCTGGGGAGCCGCACTAGCTGAGAATCCTGGCTGCCTGGCTCGACCCCACAGAGTGCTGGGCAACGAAGGCTGAGACTTACCTGTAAGTTCCTGTAGTGGACAGTGCTGCGACAGTGGGTCACCTTGGCCATCTCCTCGCTGGTGTAGAACAGCCCACACAGCTTGCAATAGAACCCAGTCCTGGGAACCACGAACTCCACTCCTGGGCAAGGAAAGGTCACGGACAGGTGTTAGGAGGGCAGCCCCGGTTCCTTCCACCACCAGCAGAAATGGGAAGAACAATGAGTTCCACCCCAGCCCCACCCACCCGGTGCTGCTGACTTTGGCGGGTGGTTTTGATTCTGCCTCAGTTTCCTCATCTTCAATGCACCTTCAAGGTGCAGATAGCTATGGGCAGGGCTGTCCATGCACTTCCACTTGCAGCCTGCTTCTAGGGTGAGCAGAAGGAAGGAGGCACTGGTAGCTCACGCACAGCATTTCATCCCTCCAGACTCTGCTCCCCACTGCTACTGCTGGCACCCAGACTCCCAGTTTTTGCTGATTTTAAAGCTGTGTTCATTAAAGAACAACTTTCAACTACAGTGAGGATGAAAAATCACCCAGAGTCACTCCAAGCATTTTCCTCCATGACTTCTGTATTTGCAGGACCCTCCTGGGGGCAGCTGTAATCACAGCCCACTACAGTCCTCTGGCCTCTCTTCCCCCCCCCCCCCCCCCCCCGCAGACGTGTTTCTCTCCCCTCCTCTAGTCTCTACACCAGACTGTCAATAGTAATGGTGAATTTGCAACTCATCAGGTCGAATTTCCAGAATTCTGGGGTGGCCTTTTGATTTCAAGGGAGAGAAACAATGGGAAGTAAGTGACTGTCACACTAGGGGGCTCACCTCTGACAGGCGGCTGTTCCAGCTCTCATACACAGGTGCTCTGCTGGTCCTGGTTTCCCCAGTTGCCCACACCTCGTGCAAATGGGAGACTAAAATAACACCAGCCCTGCTTAAGGGCATCTGTTGGTGAAGTTTCAGCAGAGGCCGTGAAAAGTGGCAGCCACAGCAGAGCTTGACAACAGGCTGGGGCTCAGGCCCCAGAGCCACCTGCAGGCTGGGTACTCTCCTGGTGTGAGCGGTCCTTGTAGCCGGGCCTGGCCAACCCTCTGTGCTGCTGGGGGTGGAGTGGGCCATGCTCAGAGATCAGATGACACTGGGTAGAGGGGAGACAGCAGCCTGGGAGGGGCTCGCAAGGGAGAGGCAAGGCCACCACATGACCACATCCAGCTGCCTGGCCTCCCATCTCCTCCCTCCTAGGGACACAGCCAGGGCCCAGGGCTGGGGAGGTTGGTGTGGGGAAGCAGCCTAGACTTGTCACCAGAACTCCTTTTTCCATTTCACTGAGTGTGAAAGGGCAACCCTGGGGAGGGGCTCCGGAGGCCTGCCCCAGCCGGCCTTGGCCGATCTCTGCCTGTGGTTTGCTCTAACTGCCATGTAGCCTGGCGCCCTCCCTCAGCAGTGAGGGCATCTCCCTCAAGCCCAGCTGCCCAGAGGGAGCCTGAGGGACCTCTCCAACCCTCCACCCACTCTCACGGTCAAGGCGGGAAAGCGGCCCTGTCTCTGTGTCCCTCCACTGCACACCCAGCCCTGGTCCTGGCCAGGCTTGGCCAAGCTGCATTCAACAAGACTGCCTCCTTCCTCGGTTGCTGCAGAGCTGGGTCTCCTGATGCGGCTCTGCAAGGAAGTGAGAACTTTGAGCTCGGCTGTACCCGTGGCCCAGTCCAGACCCCATGGCATCTACCAACCTGGGCTGTGCCCTTCATCCTAGCCCCCCAGAAGGAGTGCACCTGCCTCAGGGGCTTTCATCGAGCCTGAAACCAGGACCAAGTTGGCAGCCTGCATCCCTTTTAACCAAGATGGTCCAGCTCCCCTCGAGGGGTTGTGGCCTGGAATTCACTTCACAAGGGCACAAATGAGCAGGGAAGCAACAAAAGATGTAGGCCACAGTATAGGGCCATGCTGTAATGGAGCCAAAATGGGATTTAGATTCGACTAGACCTAACTTTTTACTTATGCTGTGTGACCCAAGGCACACAGGGCAACCTCTCTGAGCTCTGTTTCCTCATCTGTAAGCCAGGAACAGCGACCCCACACATGATGTTAGGGGAAGCACCTCTGATCTCCCGTGGTGCTTGAGTCACAGAAGCCAGCTGCCCAAGCAGGAGCCCTGTTCCTACTTTTTCTCTGATCTTTCTCCCATGCCTTCCTGGAGAGCCTGGCTCCACTGCCTAGCCTCTGCCAAGCAGGCTGGGGCAGCACCAGGAATCACACGAAGAGAAAAGAAAACCAAGCAGGGGACATCCTACCCCACAGCAACAACAAGGGTGTTGTTGGGAGTCCCTCAGTGCCCACACCAGGACACCCCTGGGACACAGGGTGGGGGGATGTGCAGCCGCGCCTCTGTTACAAAGCACCATCATTACAGCTGCCTTTGCCTTCTAATAATAGCTCCCGGCCGGCTGAACTCCGTCATTCTAGTACAGCCTGGTCTGACGAGGGAGGGAGAGTCCTAAGTGCTGAGGGCAATGGCACTGCCACTGGGATCCGGGACCAGCAGGCCTCGGCACGCAGAGCTGGCCTGAATCACATGGGCAAGGCCTTTTCCCATCACATTCCAGGCCCTGAGCGGCAAGATGGATCTCTCCTGTCCCCAGTGGTGTGCCCAGTCCTTGGTACCCCTCATTCCACCTCTCTGCTGCCCAAAGGGACAAAGCTTCCCTCCGACCAGTCCTGAAGGTGAAGGCTAGGCAGCTTAGGGAGAAGGAACACACTACAAAGGCATGTTACACAGTTCCTGGAAAGGGTCCCGGCATGGTAGCCTAGTGGCTAAAGTCCTCACCTTGAATGCTGGGCTCACATATGGGCGCCAGTCCAGTTCTGGCAGCCCCGCTTCCCAACCAGCACCCTGCTTGTGGCTTGGGAAAGCAGTCGAGGATGGCCTAAAGCCTTGGGACCCCGCACCCAAGTGGGAGACCCAGAAGAAGCTTCTGGCTTCTGGCTTTGGATCGGCTCAGCACCAACCATTGCAGCTACTTGGGGAGTGAATCAGCAAATGAAAGATCTTTCTCTCCCTCTCCTCCTCTCTGTATATCTGACTTTCCAACAAAAATAAATAAATCTTAAAAAAAAACACAAATTCCTGAAAAATGCATTCAAATATATTTTGGTGCAAACAAAAAAAACCCCACTCAAAATGCATAATATGCATTTCTATGTGCATGGATTTCAAAATATTGTTTGCACAAAAATAAAGTTTTCTTTTACTTCTACTTTCCATGAACTTTTTGAAGTACCCTTGGAGGTCTCAACAAACATTTCATAAACAAACAGGAACAAGACAACCTTACGGTGTGCGCCTTCTAGAAGGTGCTAAACCTAACCTGCCTGGCGTGTGAGGGCAACACAAGCATAGTGATTGCAGTGTTTTCAAAATGGGGAAGAAATGGGAAACAGTCTAAGTGTTCTTCAAAGTGACCTTCCCAAAGGTCTTACTCGGTTCTACAGATGAAGCACCCTAAGCACAATTAAATAAGTTGCTCCTTGTTACCCAGCCAGCAAGCGGCAGAGGTGAGACTTGAACCTGGAGAATAGGATTCTACAATCTGTGCTCCTCACAAACTGACACTCTCACACCTGCTGCTGCCTGCTCTGGAGGGACAGGCAAGCAGAGTCATCTGAGATCAGAACCCTAAGTTCTCGCCTGAACTTGCTAAGTGAACTTGGGTGAGTCTCTGGGCTTCAATTTCCCCACCTGTCAAAACACAGAAAATAATATCATGCCCCTCTCAGTGCAAACTCCTACTTAACTTGCTTACTAACACGTACAGTCTACAAAGCCCCAAGCCAAAATCCACCTAAATGCCTGTCAGCCTGTGCGTGAATAAGTAGAATGTGGTACATCCACATCTATGACGCAGTCCTGTTCAACAATGGAAAGTCACAAATGCCAACTACAATGAGTAAAAGAAGCCAGGCAAAACCAAGACATACCAAGTGGAATTCCCTCCACAGCAAATTCTAGAAAATGCAAAGTAATACTTAGTGATGGAAAGCAGTGAGTGGTGAGTCGGGGCAGGTTCTCAGAGGAGCCCAGGAGTCGGGGGGTTGATTCATATGCTCAGCGTAATGGATGTGCTTGTGATCTCCCAGTTACACACGTATGTCAGTGCACTTCACACCTGTACACCTCCTCATATGTCAAATATACCTCAGAATAGTCTTTCCCCTGCTCCCCGTGCCCTGACCCCAAGACTTGATTTCCCTTCTGACAGGTTGGCAAATACTCAGGATGGACAATGTGTGACACTGGCTCTAGGGTGGAAGATGGGATCTCTCCCTCAGGCCAGGGGAAACTAGCATTGCCTTTGCACGGAGTGCACCTTGGTAGTAATGATGAGAATTTAAAGTGCAGGCAGCCAGCTCATAGAAGCACTGGCACGCACAGAGAGGTGACTGAAGGCAGGTATGTGCAAGGCAGCAGGGATTAGTGAGTGGGAACGTCACTCCAGTTAGATCCTGGGCTTTGAGTCCTCACTCCCGCCCCTGCTGATTACAAGCTGTGTAACACTATAGCTCCTATTTCTGATCTGCGGCAGAGAGATGAAACAATGAGCTGCCTTACAGGTGTCCTGAGAGGGCTAAGGAAGACAAGATAAGTGGGAAAAAAAATGAGAAACTATCCAAGTGTACCTTTTAAGAAGGAGTGTTTGTGGGGCCAGTGTTGTGGTATAGCAAATGAAGTCCTTGCCTGAGACGATCCCATGTGGATGGTAGTTTGTGTCCTAGCTTCTCTAGTTCCAACCTAGCTCTCTACTAATGGCTTGGGAAAAGCAGTGGAAGATGACCCAAATATTTGGGCCCTCCCATCCATGCGGGAGACCCAGCTGAAGCTCCTGATTTCCAGCATTGCCCTGGCCCAGCCCTAGCCATGGTACCCATCTGGGGAGTGGCCCAGTGGATGAGGGTCTCTGTCTCCATCTCTCCCTTTCTCTCTGTAATTCTTTCAAATAAATAAGCAAACTCCCCCAATCCCCACCCTCCAAAAGGAATAATAGTGTGGAGAAAAAGAACGCATCTTCCAGAAGAGAGCACTACCTGCCAAGATGTGGAAAGAGCAAAGTGCAAACCATGACATGCCTGTAGGGACCCTTCTGTTGGTGGGCAGTGGCTGCCTCAGGCGACTGGGGAGAGATGGGTGGAATCGAGCTAAGAGGCGAGACCTTTCTCATTCATCTTACATGGCTGATTATTTTTAAATTGATTAGTAAGATTTTTAATATTTTTTCTAATGAAACCGCATAATGGCAAAGACAAAATTATAAGCTAGTAAACTGATTTCTAATTTCTGTTGAGTCAAACAGATTCCAAATTCTTGGATGACAAGAGGTTTAGGGCAAGCATTTCTTGGCTCTCCTGCAGGCCTAGCACAGTGTCACAGGACTCAGGATTTGCAGGCTCAGTGAATCATCTCCTTTCCCCAAAGGCAGCTTTTGCAAAAGCTTAGAGACTTTTTAAAATCCACAGCCTTCTCAGTTCATTCCCAGGTCTCTCAGCCTGCCTGCATCCCTTCCTCCCCTTCTCCTTCTTTCTTTTCCCTTTATCTTAGAAGATTCTGTGCACCACTTAGGAAAACTCAAAAGGTATTGTTTCACTCTTCAGAACTGAACCTATGAAGATGGTGCCCTGGGAGAAGTGAAAAATCAAAGCTGTTTGTAAGAGAAGAAAAGGCAAAGAGAAACCCTGATGCGAAGGGGGCACCTCAGTGGTGAGGGGTCCGTAGGGCAAGCAACAGCCACACCAGGGCTTCTGGGACACCCAGCCTATTCCTAACGTCTTTGCCTTCCAATCATCCAGAGCCAAGGCTGACTCTGCATGCTGTGGGCTGGAGTGGGCTGTACTCCAGAATCTCCCAGGGAAGCAAGCATCTTTACTCCTCCAGGGCCCTGCTCAGCTCTCTGTTTTGGAAATGTGTCTGCAGAGACTCAATCCATGAGCTCCAAGCCCCACCCACATCCCTCACCCTGTTAGAAACTACTGGTTTGGTCCATTCCTTAGTCCACACAAGAAAACCAAGGCTCAAGATGGCAAATGACTTGCCTGGGGAAAAAAATGCTCACACTGTGACCCACAAATGGAAAAGAAGGGACGGGACTCAGGTCTCGCTGTTCAATGTTCCCTCTGCCAGCTACGCAGGAACCACCGCAAAAACAGTCTATCCACAACCCCAAAGGAGCTGGGTCCTTGAAGAGGAAAAAAAAATGTAGCACAGTCTGGGAATGGCTGGGCAAGAGGGGAAGGAGGACGGTAGGCGAAGAGGTTCCGTTAGCTGTGAAGGCCACTGGGCCTCTGCTTCTCCACCTGCCTGAAGGGCTGCACAACAAGGCTGTGTGGTCAAGAACACTGACAAGGAAAACAAGCAGGTCTTGGCCCCGAGTCCCACAGCAGTGCAGCCCAAAGCCTGCCCCTCGAGAGTATCTGCTAGCAGAGGCTGAAATTGCAGGAAACATTTAGCACCTTGCAAAATTAGATTATTGCATCATACGTTAAAAACACAACTATGACACAAACCATCTGGGAAAAACCCTCTCACACTCTCTGGAGGGACTGTAACTCCCTGGAGCCGGGCTTCAGGGAGGGTTGTAACCATCGCTTACCTAGAGGAATGCTCAGCTCACTGAATACATCCTCTGGCTCCCAGGAAGGCAAAGAAAGGGGTTGCTTCAGCTCCGCCTCAGCATATTCTGGGGACCTCACGGCCAGCGGCTTCGCTTCCAGGTACCTGGGATTTTCTGCAAGACAGGAGCCAAGACAAAGAGTTGCTGAAACAATGCATTGCAGGCAAAGTAAAACCAAAGAACTATCAGCATTCAGAGCTTTTTCAGAGTGCCAAACGCAACACCTGGTGAGGTTTTGCACAGGACGGGATGCAGGGAGGGTGGGCTGCTGATCCACCTGTGTTTCACCACCGCAGCCCAGTCTCATTTCCATTCTAGCAGGCAGGGGAATTATTAAAGGGCAAAAGTTGTGTTGCTGTCTGCTGGGGCTGGCAAGAACGACACTGCTAGTTTCACTGCAGGCTTGCCAAGTGGCGCTATCGAGTATAAACTACAAACTCGGACAAGCATGTAGAATACCGGCTGAGACCCAGCCTGGTAACTACAAGGAGGTCCATTAGAGGCCCTCCTGCTGGATTCTGGCCTTCTCCAGAGCCTGGTCTCTCTCTCTCTCTCTCTCTCTCTCTCTCTCTCTCTCTCTCTCTCTCTCTCTCTAGCAACGAGAAAGCAGCTCACCAGGAGAGTTTCCATGGAGACACAAATCTAGGCAGGTGAAAAAACAGCTCAGGTCAGCTTGACATGGAAGGAAGCCTGAGCCTCCTAGTCACCGGCCAGCTGTGCTGTCCAAATCACGCTGGTTTGAAACACTTGATGTTCTGCACCTGTCCCCTCCCCGATTCCTCCTTCAACCTTGATGTAGCCACAGGTTTGCTACCCAACCAATCTCTCTCTGCTTGTTTGCATTGGTGAGACTCTTGGAGGATCCAGGTTCCACTCCCTCCCCCAGAGCCCTTGACAGCTCTTACTTTCCACTTGGCAGAGAACACTGGGGCTTAGCCTATTTTAAACTCTTTCTTTCATGATGTCACAGAGCCAGGCATAGACACAACATCACCTCGTGGGGAGGTGGAGGAGATCCTGGGACAAGTTCCGTGTCGCTGCCAGACCCTGGAGAGAAATGCCTCAGCAGCAATGAGAAGGGGGAGCAAGCCATACCCTTAGCCCTTAGACTCCCATCCCTCCCACACACCCACTCCCAAACCACTGCCTGGGTGGGCAACTGCCTACTAGCCAGAAGGGGTCATTGGCTGACTCCTTAGGAACCCCCCCCCCCAGCTCGTTTCAATGTGAACTTGAGCACTTGCTAACTGTCCAAGTCCACCTGGGTTTCTTGGTGCAAGAAAGTGCGCCCTTTTTGAGCACTCTGAACACACACTGCATCCAACCTCACGTCCTTTACTCCACTGCCCTGGAGCCGTGGCAGGTTCGCCAGGCTCTCAGAGGCTCACTCTCTTTCTGCACTCGCTGCAGCCCTGGTGGGCACCAGGCTTGCTACCTTCTGGCCTGCACAAGCCCTTCCACCTCCGGGTGTGCGGTGGTCCGACCCGCCCGACCTGCTGAGATGAGGGGAGGTAGTTACCCTGGGTCAACACTTCTTGGCAAGCTTGGCTTGGGAGGTCGGTCTCGGTGTGGGGGCTGGCTTTCTCCTCCAGGGGGCCGCCTCCACAAGCCCCATCTTCAGGGGTCCCCTTGGCCTTGCAGTCATCAAGAAATGGGCTAGGTTGCCGGGCTCTCTCCTCTGCTGGCTTTGGGGAAGCCATCTGCTGAACTGCAGGGGCCGGATGAACATCTGAGCCCTCTGCACCCTTTGCCTCCTTCTCGTAGCAATCTGAGTCCTCCAGCGAGAGGCTGGTCTCGCGTTCAGCTGGCTTCCGCTCAGCATCCAGATTTAGGCCAGGCGTTTCCACGTCCATGTCACTGGGACGGCTTGTGGAGGCAGAAGGCAGCTGTCTGGGCGGCTTCAGGCTCAGTTCTGCAGCCCTGTTCCCTAGGTCTTCCCTGACTCCTGCCTTGGCCAAGTTCAGGTCTAACGTGGTGGCCGCCACACAGGAACGTATTTCAGGGCAGATTTTGTCTTTAGGCTCAAGGGGCACTATTTCTTCCAGCTCTGGGATGTCAGGTTCCATGATAAAATCCTCCTCTTCCCCCACTTCGTCCACTGTCACCAGCTCCTCCATGTTTGTGGGATACCAGCTCTCTCCCTCTGTCTCACTTCCACTCTCCCAGGCTTGCTCCTGCACAGAAACACAGAGTGGAGGTCAGAGGATGGCTGAAGGAGTTCAATCAGAATGCACCACCTGTGCCTGGAATGACTCCCTCAAACCAGAAAGCCCCTGAGCATTCTTCCTGCCACCTGGGAACAACTACAGGAAGCTGGGGAGCGGTGACCCACTCCAGGCTCAGCCCTCTAATGCATCTTTAGGAAGATGCTCCAGATGGTATAGGATTTGCGAAGAGCCCTCAGTGCTGAATCCACCACGGTGACAGTAAAACAAAAGATTCCAGCCTCTGGCACATAACAGGCGCCTGATGAAACAGCTTTGCAATGGATGCACACGCTGCTGGCACTGTTTCCTTGCACGCACACAGGGCCTCTATGAAACTCCCTCAGAATTCCTCCCAAGTCCTATTCCCCAGCCAGGGTGCAATTTCCTAACCAAAGCTCCCGCCTCCCCCACCTTGGCTCTGCCTCAAACGTCCCTCGTGGCACCCCCAGCAGCCCACGGACTGGCACACAGACTGAGGAGGTTAGCTTTCCTGCCAGCGACACCCATCGCCCCCGCTTCCCCTGACGGGAAAGGCAGGGAGCTGGTCACCAGCCAGACAGCCCCAGCCCAAGAGGACAGCAACTGGGATTTCTTATTTAAATGAAGCAAAGCAATCTGAACATACCCAGGGCCTAGGCCTGCCAAGCTCAGGGTTCCAGCTGGAGGAGCTAAAACCACCACTCCCAGTCATCGAGGGACCTGCCTAGTTGGGGAACCTGAGTCTTGTTTCCGGTGTGTTGTCTCCCAAGAGCCCTGCCAAGTTGCTGGAGAGGGAGGTGTAGACCAGACCACAGGCTGAGAGCTTCGTAAAGACTGACTGAAGACCCCTGGTAAAGCCATTCCTCCAAAAGGGCCACTCACAGATCCCCAGAGCAGGTGACCAGGCCAGGGGCTACACGGCAGATGTGACCAGCCTGCTGCACACTGGGACACACTCTACCTTCTTTGTCCTTGTGTCTTCTGGGTCAGAGGCCCCTGTTCCTCTCTCCTGTCCATCCACGGCTAGGGGGCTTTCTTCTGGGCCCTCTTGTTCCTCTTTTGCGGCCTTACCAAAGAAAGCACAGAACAAATCCGATCAACAGTGAGCAGTGGCAGGAGGGAAAGCAGGGCTTGGTGCTGGCAGACACAGCTACTGTTGTCGCACGGAACCCCTTGGAGGCGGCTGCAGTTGGCACCTGCCTTTTCTAAGCAAGCAAACTGCAGCCCAGAGAGGTAAGGTAACTTGCTCATGGTCACACAGGCAGATGGAGGCAGAGCATCATCTTGAAGGGCTGGCTGAGGGCATGAGGCAGCCAAGACCCTGGGAAACAAGGTCTTGCTTTGCAGTGAGGGTGAGTAGCAGCAGCCCAGGCAGACTGACTGTAGAGGCCCTGGGGGTGACCGTAAGATGACGTTTCCCCAACAGAACTGTCTTGACCACACACGCACACACAAAATAACATTCAGGAGGGAGCTCTGGGCACAGCTTGGGACACATACATCCCACATCAGTGCGCCAAGCTTTGAGTTCCAGCCTTCCTTCTGCTCCGTTGTCCTGTTAATGCACCACAGATGGGACGCAGGAGGTGATGGCTCAAGTAGTTGAGGGAGACCTGGGTGAATTTCCAGGCTCCTGGCTCTGGCGTGGCCTGGCCCTGGCTGTTGTGGACATCTGGGGAGTGTACCAGGGGCCATCTCTGTGTTTCAATTAAATAAATTGATTTTCTAGAAAAAAAATCACATTTGGGCTACTCATAAGTAGAAGAGGATTTGTCACCCAGATGGTATGTTGTCACCAGTCCTGACTTAGAGCTGTGGTTGAATGAGCCGTCCCCTCCCTTCCTTCAGCATGATGCCCAAGTGTGTGAGACGGAGCAGGTGCTCAGTTTCAGAACGAGGGTCTCTAACCAGCCTTTACAACAGCAGTCAGCAAGCTGTGACCTGTGGGACAAAGCTGACAAGTAACCTCCCGCCCTCCCGCAGTCTGGGAGTTAAGGGGGAAGGGGAGGGCGGGGTTCTAATTTGAAATAGCCACATTTTAAATACTTATGTAAAGGCCTGTGTCAGAGGCTGTTTTGCGTGGGCCTGTACAGACTAACATGTTTATGATCTGGTCCTGGATAGGGAACATTTATCAGCCCTGCTGTAGAAGTTTCTGGGAGATTGTCCCAGGTTTGAACTTTGGCCACCCAATCGCCTACTCCCAAGCTTCCTCAGGGGCCCACAGCACTTTCTGGACATTTTCGGTTGGGGCAGGTTCAAAGGAAATGATTCCATCTCAGATGCCTTCCGACCAGACACACCCCCTGGCAGCTGACAAGGAGCCAGTCAGGGCAGGAGTTCAGGGATGACTGGTTTAGCCGGTTGTTACTGACAGGGACAGGCAGTTCCAGTCCCCAAGCCCTCACTCTCTCCAACGCCTGCAGCAGAAGATCCCACAGCAAGCTTTGCTTTGGTCTCCTGGGCTCACCTTGGTGTACATCAGCCACAAACACCTCGTCAGGCAGCAGAAGCCACAGCTTCGCTTGCCTTGATACCCAGCACCTTCCTTAACCTCACCTTTTGCAGGCATCACGTGCTGTTAGGCTCCTAGGTAAACCCAGGAGCGACCTCCTCCAGCTCAAGCTGGGAGGGGATGAGCCCCTTCCTAGTCCTTCTGCTGCTCTGAGGCCTCATCTGCTTCCCACACCTTCGCAGGAACTCCATGAGACCTGGGGTCACTTCAGCATCACTCCCACCCACAGCCCAGTGCTAGGGCTGCCTTTCTTTAGGCTCCTGGGATGCATGTGAGCCACAGACAGATTTTGGTTTGTAGCTTCTGAAATGTGGGGAATTCCATAAGGATTTGGAACTCAGTCTTGCTCATTAGAAAACGGGCATCTGGTGGCACAGGAAACATATTCCTGAGCGGGCAGCTGTGGAATGGAGCTGAGCTGTGGCCAGCCACTCACATCAGACAGGTGTCACATCCTTCATCTGCCACAGTCCCATCACTCCCACTGGTCCCCACTCGGGTCACTGGGTCCTGCATCACTGCTGAGCCTCCCCCAGGCATCTGGGTTTGTAACACTTGATTCTGTTCCAACAAAGGCAGGTTGGGGCCTGTTTCCTGTGCCTCTCCTTCCTGTGATCCCAGGTTGAGGGCTGGCTCTCATGGATGAACATGGTTGCCACAAGCACTAAGAAGCACACACTGGCTACAGCTTGGGCACTTTCTCCAGAGACCGCAGGGTTTTTAATGAGCACAGGCTTATTAACAAGGCACCACAGTCTTGGGGGTCACACCCATTCTACAAACAAGCAAACCAGGATGGAGAACAGGGTGGGGCCTGATTCCTGGGTGCCACACCTTCCCCTTCCCTCACCCCTCTGAGTCTGGATGGGTTTTCCCATTTTCTACCAGGTGCTATTGACAAGGAGCACAGGAGGAACAATCCTTGCCTCCTGGAGGTTCCGTATGGAGGGTGAGGTGGCAAGGACAGACATGAAATCAAAGAGCAGTCAGTGATGAAGATTATCCCAAACAGGAGGGAAGCTGATTTTATGCAGCTGTCTGGGATCAACCTGGAGAATGTGGCAATGACCAAAGATAACAGGGTTGAGCAGGAAATAACATGGACTTCCGGGGGTGGAAGAGGCTTCCCAGCAGGGAAGCAACATTCAGACTTGGTGGGGCAGAAAGCAGCAATGCTCCATCCTGAATACTGCTGCCTTTATTCGCAAGTTCAGCTGCTGTGTTCTGCCAAACTCTTGGGGCAGCCCTGGGGACTTCCAGGTTTTTTTTTTTTTCCAGTTCATGGTACAGACTCTTGAGAACTGGGCAGAAAGCTCTGTTATGCTGTTATTTCAACCTAGGCCACTGGATTGCTCAGCTCCAATCCTACAGAAACAACCTGTGGGGAACCCCCAGTCCCTACTGACCTCACTCAGGAGCTAGCAAAGGCAGGACCAGGTGGGGGGACCTGTTAGTGGGGAAACACATGCAGCTTTCTGGGTCTGTTTTTGCTTTAGGGTTTTTTGGGTGTGCTGGCAGGTGGTGTCCCTGGAGCAGGTGGGTTCATTGGAGGAGGAAGGAGGTTCCCACAGAACAGCTTCAGAGCTGAGGGCATGAGTGTGAAGGGCAGTTTCACCCTTTGTCTTGGAGGGTAGAGAGTTTGCAGACTGGTGGTCCATGTAGGAGGTCCAGGCTTAAGCCTCTGCCAACTCTTACTTTTCGTTCCTCTGAGTCTTTTCTTGTAGTACCAACGAATCACCAGCACCCCGGACAGCTCTAAATAGGTAGATACACTGTTCTTTGAAAACATCTACTAGGGGCTGGCATTGGGGCACAGTAGGTTAAACCAACTGCATGTGACACTGGCATCCCATATTGAAGTGCTGTTTCAAATCTTGGCAACTAATTTTATTTATTTATTTTTAAAGTTTCATTTGTTTATTTGAAAGGCAGAGTTACAGAGAGAAAGATCTTCCGTCTGCTGGTTCACTCTTCAAATGACGGCAATGGCGGGAGCTGAGCTAGGGCCAAAGGCAAGAGCCAGGAAGTTTCCTTAGCATCCCCCACGTGGGTGCAGGGGTCCAAGGGTTTGAGTCATCTGCTGCTTCCTCCAGGCCATCAGCAGGGAGCTGGATTGGCAGGGGAACAAGGACTTAAACTAATGCCCATATGGGATGCTGGCACCATAGGCCATGGCTTAACCCACAATGCCACTTCACTGGCCCTGGGGCAGTCTACTGTACTTCTGACTCAGCTTCCCCTTAATGTTCTTGCAAAGGCAGTAGAAGACTACCTAAGTGCTCGGGTTCTGCTACTCATGTGGCAGACTAGATGGAGTTCAGGTTCTTGGCTTTGATCTGATCAGCTGCGCTTGTAGCAGGAGTAAGATCTCTCTGTGTCTCCATCCCTCTCTCACTCTCCCTGTCACTGTGTGATTCTCTCTCACTCTGCCCTTCAAACAAACATCTTTTAAAAATATCCCAGTTCACCAGGTCCTTGGGATCCAGTTCAAGCCCTTAGCAAGGTATACAACATCCCTTTCCCAGTCTTATCTCCTGTGCTTCCCTTGGCTCCTTCAGTCCTGGGAAAACCGTGAGTGTGAAGTGAACTGCAAAGGTTGTAACAGGAAACAAACAAACAGCATCCTGTCAATGGGGTGCTGGGCTTTTGTCCAGTACACCCTCCCAGGATGTCTGGTTCTAGTAGGGTCCGTACTTATCATGATCATGAACACAACTATTTAGCAAACACAGAAGTTACAAAAAACTTATCATAATGAAAACTGCAGGCGAGCTTCACCTGACCCTCTAGACTTCGTGCAAGAGGCTGGATTTTCACCTATTAGCATATTCTTGGAATCCCTGACAAACTATACAGGTTACCACTCTCTGGATTCTCCTTTTTGCTGGCTTTCCCATCACAGTTTCCTCCTTAACCAGTAAGCTAAATGAAATCTCTGACATATTCACAAATGTTTGTAACCAGGACCATAATTTCAGTTTTCAAAATCATTATCCTTTAACATGGCCTAAAGATGCAGCCACATCAAGAATTTCAGGATTCCCAAAACTGTCGTTCTCACTACTGCCTATGCTCTGCCTTTACCAAGACGCAAACTACTTTTCTCCTACTTTCTGTACCCAGCTCAAATGTCCCCTCCTCCCTGCAGCTATGCCTCTCATCCTTTGCAGAGCTCCCTGCCCACAGAACAGTTTGCCAACTCTGACTTCTGGCATGAGTGCTGCCGCATGTAAACAATTTTGATAGGCTTGTTTCTACCCTTATATACTGGGCTCTACCCTAAATTGGACTCGGTCCTGTTCCTTAGACCCTCCGTACCTACCACACACCGCCTGGCAAAGCAACACTCTGGCAATGTGTGTGTGTGAATGAGAGCCGGAGGAATGACTGAAAGCACTGCTGTTCAGTGCTCATGGAGTGGCCAACCAGACTCCTGATCTACATTTAGCAGGTGTCACCAACTCCAGATGCCGAGAGGATAAGCATGGAGGATTTAAAAACAGGGTCCTTATGCAAGCCTCCAAAGCTCTGCTACCCCTATTCTTACTTCAATGTAGAGGCTCTGACAAGGAGGGAGTATGAGCATATGCCAAGAAAGGTTATAAACCTGGTACCCAACACCGTTCTCATGAGTCCCCAGGGAGAACTACTCACAAGGAGTAGGCCCTCTGTGATGCTCGGAGGGAGGTGTCGGCTTTGTACAAGTGGAACTAAAATACTGAGAGCCGTGTCTAGAGAAACACACCAGGCCCTTGGTCCCTGGTGTAATGTGAAGGGTGGTGATGGCTTCCCCACCTCTCCCAGGAGCTCTGGGGCTGGTATGCTTCCAGCAGAAGAGACAGAAGCACAGGCACCCAAGTTGTAATCTCCCTTGGCAAATCCCATGCCAACAGCTCGGGGCCACTGCACCCTGGACAAATGTGGCCCTGACTTCCATCTAGTAGGGGCAACATGTGCCATGGGACTGGCCAGATTCCCCAGGCAGCACTGTGGCTCTGCCATTTCCTGACCGTGTGTCCCTGGGCAAAGAGCCGCTTGCTGTGGCTCAGTTTCCTCATCCACAGTAACCAGAGCTCCCAGCTTGGGGTGGCTGTGAGGAGCAGATGACTTGACTGAAAGGTACTCAGCACTGTGCTGGACATGCAGCAAGATGTCAACGAGTGCACATCACCACCATGCTACTCCTACGGTTATGCTCCGATGGGACCTGCCTCCTCTTACCTGGGGCGGGGAGTTGCATCATTACCTCATTCTCAGCCATTTTGCTTTCTTTTCTATCATCAGCTCCTTCTTGGTCTCTATCAGGTCTCTGCTTGGACTTGGCGCCCTCAGGGGCCCTAGTGACCTTGGGCCCCAGCCCGGCTTCCTTGCCTGAGTCATCGGGGTAGGGGTGCCTGCTCTCCCGCAGCCTGGCCTCTTCTTTCCGCCTGGACCGTCCAGGGGCCTCCTGCTGCTGTTGCTTCACATGCTTGTCCGATTTGGTTCTGGGCTCTTTCCGGTAGTAGCCGTCTTCCCGGCTTTTGTAGCTCGATGCACAGTGGACTGGGTTGGGGGACCCGGATCTTGCATACTTGTCCCGGTAGCCCCTCCCTCCTTCCAGTCGCTCATCCACATCGGCCTTGTCCGGCTGCCGGGGGTAGTGCTTGCGATCATGTGCCCACGCATCCGTCCTGTCCCTCTTTTCCTCCCCATTCTCCCTCCAGGGGCCTGGGTCTCGCTCCTCATCCCTCCTGGTATAAGGAGAGAGCTCCCACGAGTCCCGGCCATTGCCCCAGTCTGCTCGGGAGGGGCCTGGGGGACTGTGTGAAGAGCTACAGGAGGTGAAGCTCGGAGTGTGGGACCTTGGGGAGAGGGACCGATTCACTGGACTGCGAGACCTTGGCCTCTCTGGGCCGTACCTGCCAGGGAGCAAAAGAGCAGGATCAGAATCTGCATTCCACTCTCTCCCACCCTCCTGGACCCAGAACACACAAGGCCTTTCTAGGCACGCCTGTACACTCTGCTCTTACAACATTCCCGAACACCCAGCAGCGGGCCCTTCCTTCACCTCTCTTCTGGGGGTGGCCCAGGGGCGGTGGAGGGGTGGGCTAGACATTGAGTGAACATGTGTGCCTGAACATACACATTCACATATAACTTTACAACATTCATGGAAAAACGGAACTAACAGCTAAGCTGATTTTGACATAAATTCATTTCTTTAAAAAGATTTATTTCTTGGAAAGGCAAGTACACACAGAGAGAAACAGAGACACAGAAACGGAGAGAGACACTTTCCATCTACTGGCTCATTTCCAAATAGCTTCCATGGCAAGGGCTAAACAAGACCGAAACCAGGAACCAGGTTCCACCTGGGTGGCAGGGGCCCCGGGGGGCTAGGGTCATTTTCGGCTGCTTTCCCAGGAGTGTTACGAGCAGCTGGATCAGAAGTAGAGCACTTGGGACCCAGCTGGCACTTACTTGGGATGTCTGTGTTCAGATAGCAGCTTAAACCACTGCACCACAATGAGGGCCCCTTGGCACAAAAACATTTTCAAGTCCATACATAGCTTTTTCATAATGTACATTTCTACAAACTTGTGGATTTTCTGTGAACTTCTTGAAGGCCTTCACACACACACACACACACACACACACACACACACACACACACACACACACACACGTTACTAAGTACATCAGCTGAGTCCTATCGCCAGAACTCTAGTAGGATTAGCATTTTTCCATTGGCTCTCAAATATGGAAAATCCCTGCAGCCCTCACGGACCAGGAGGCAGCAAGGCAAGGCTCCCAAGGACCATCAGAAGGGCTGGGCTCTTGCCCTCTCTGGTGGGGTGAGAGCACCCCCTGTGGCCCCTCTGCACAAGACCCCAGAATGTGCCAGCCTGGCACAGGCCCCTGCAGCTCTCTACTCGCGAGTACAGTCACTGCAGGAGCTTGTAGCTCCAACCTGGCCGTTTCACAAACCTCAGCAGGAAGAAACAGACTAGAAAACAGAATGCTTTTGATGTGCAGGGTAAATGACAGCTGAGGCGGGACCTGGGGAATCACCCACATTCTTGTTCCTGGATCTACATTCAGCTCGTGGCATGAAGCTCTGAAGTCCCCGCCCCGCTCCTCACCTCTGCACACAATCAGGCTGACCAAGCGTTAACACATCTATATTCCCTTCCAATACAGAGAAGCAGCTGAGAGGCAGCCCAGCGCCTAGCATTTTCCCAAGGTATAACTGCAGCAGCACTTCTGGACTGGGCTGGATCAACGCCAAGAAGGGCAGATGAATGGGGTATGGGGAAGGACAGGCCATGCTGTGATTGGATCCCCAAAGAGTGATGAGATTGCCCCAGACACAGGGTCAAGGCCTCACCTGTCTGCTTCCCGGAACAAATCCCTCTCCCTCTGGGAATGGATGTCCTGGATGATGGCAGCCACAGCTTTCCCAGGTTTCTAGAAAAACGACAGAGAGAGAGAGGTCACCGTGAGATGAGGGCAGATTCAATTAAAGCACAGAGGAGCAGCTGGAATGTGGGCTGCTCCCTGCCCAAGCCACCGAAGGCGGGAAGGTGCTCTTTGTGCAGGAGGACATAAAGGTGTAGTGCCAGGGATGCAGAATGGGAGCACCTGCTGAGCGGCTGGAGAGGTGGCTGCTGAGTGGTCCAGGGAGCACGGTGCACACAGGGCAAGGGAAAAAAGGCCTGTGCCTACCAGCCATATGCTGGCAACAAGTAGCATTTGTTAATGTCCACCTCCTCTGAATTTGGTTTTATATGAAACATAAAATGGAAGAGGGAAGGCATGGAGGGAGGCAGGACAGTGGTATTACACATTTGGAAAGAGCCTTGAAGCCCACTGCATGCAGCCCTCACATTCTGGGTATGTGCAGACTAAGACTTTGAGCCTCTTCCCTGCCTAACTCCAAGAACCTGTCACATGGTGTTCTACGCAGACAGCGTCCTTCTGGGCTGGGCTAACGGACACATTCAAGGTCACATTCAAGACATGAGCTGGGATATATCACCCGTAAGCTCCTCTCCCTGTTTCATGCCCCTTTCAACACCTTGCTCCTTCATCCACAGGTGTCATTTGATGCTCAGAGTAACATGAGGTGGGCAGTGTGCCATGTGCTAACAGCTACGGATGCCAGGAAAGGCTCTGCCCTTCCCAGGGGTCACTCTGTGGTGGTTGTCTGAAGTCAGGAGCAAACCCTGTTCCCACGTCCCAATCCCAAACAATTTCTTAAACCCAGCAAGAACCAAAATAATATGAAAATCAATGACTGGGGCAGCAGTTGCTGCTCTGCTTATGGTGCCTGCGCCTCCACGGTGGAGCGCCTGGGTTGGTTTCCTCCCTGGCTCAGGCTCCTAACTGGAGCTGCCTGCCAGTGAAGACAGCAGTGATGGCTCAAGCAACCGGGCTGCATTGCTCTGCTGGGTTCTCCACATGAGAGACCTGGAGTGAATTCTCTGTCCTGGCTTCAGCCTGGCCCAGCCTCAGCTATTGTGGCCACATGGGGAGTGAGTCAGTGGGTAGGAGTTCTCTTTGTTTGCCTATCTGTTCCCTGTTCTATTCCCTACTGTCTCTCAATAAATAAACAAAACTTAAAAAAAATTACTTAAAAAAATTCACCAGCACAGAAGAAAGCAGGAACATCTCCTAAGAGATTCTATGGGATCTAGCCCCTTTAATAAAAGCGCACTGAGCATAGAGTCTTACTGAATGTGAGTTATATTGCAATAAAGCTGATTTAAGAACGCATTAAAACTCCTCATCCTGTAATGCCAACTTTTAGCAGAGCTTTATTAAGAAATTTAATCAGTCCTAGAGCAGTAGTCTAGCAGCTAAAATCCTTGCCTTGCATGCACCGGGATCGCATATGGACACTGGTTTTAATCCCAGCAGCCCCACTTCCCATCCAGCTCTCTGCTTGTGGCCTGAGAAAGCAGTCAAGGCTGACCCAAAGCTTTGTGACCCTGCACCTGCGTGAGAGACCCGGAAGAAACTTCTGACTCCTGGCTTCAGATTGGATCAGCTGCAGGTATTGTGGCCACTTAAGGGGTGAATCAGCAGATAGAAGATCTTCCTCTCTGTCTTTCCTCCTCTCTGTATATCTGACTTTCCAATAAAAATAAACAAATAATTTTTAAAAAGCCACAGTAGTTTAAAAATAAAAAATAAATTTAATCAACCATTGTTTTCATCATTGACCTTCTATGCTATTTATAAAGTCACAAAATCGTGCGGGCCATGCAGTCATGTCGCGTCATTATGTATCTCATTTCACAGGTAGGAAAGGCAGGTGCAGAGGCATATTCTAGCTGGGACTGGAATGCTGTGGGCACTGTGAGTGGCCATGGCTTAGAAGAGCATGAAGGAAAGACAAGGATAAAGGGAAAGACGCCTGTGGTTCAGGACCAGACCGGAGGAAGAAATCCAAATGCTCACACCAGGGTGGGATCTCTTGTCAACAAAAGGAAAGAAAGCCAAAGATGAGGCCATGACCTCTTCCCCCTTGGCTGTGTAGAAGTAGGTTGGCAGGCGGCCAGACAATCCCTTGTGTAAGAAGAGGCTCAGGAACTTACCCTGGTCACAATATTTTCCCAAAAAGGATTCTGTACAACCTTGACAAGTGACATGTTATATTTAACTGTAGTGTAAAGGTTGCTCTCCTCTAAGCATATGAAAGTCCACCTTCAAATAACCAGCATCCTCTGGAGTGCTCTGAGTTACTTCTATTCAGGTTTCAGGTCCCAGTGCAGGCACTTCCTAGGTTATTGATGGCAGAGCCAACAGCAGCCCAACCTTTGCCTGGACCAGGTGATCCATAATAACATCTGCTCCAACATGCATGGCTGCAGCGACAGGAACAGTGGTTGGAGAGAACCAACACAGCAGGGCACAAGCACGCTGCATGGGGGCTGGTGGTCACATTGTGACCCCTTCTGAGTAGCACAGGGACCATTCTATTATTTTAAGAGATAATTGCCAGTGTTTGGCATTCTAGTCCAGACACCCTGAGAGCTGCTATTCAAGAAGGAGATAGACATGGCCCAAGATTTTCAAACAAGCTTTGCAAGTGGAAATGAGTTAAATCCATGGTAAATATCTGGGGTACCTTTTGGTTGTAGAACTTTTCAAGCAAAGCAAACAGATTGGTGTGTTGGACCCCTGGGTCCATTAGCCATCTCCCACAATTCTGACCAATCCTGCTTGACCTGGCTCTCTACCCCATCCCATCTCATCTCTCTCTGCACTCCCTAAGTTATTCTGAAGCACAGCACAGATGTCCTATCTTTCCATCCACTCTACAATGATGTTGTTGTAGTCCAGTAGCCTCACTGGAGGCTTCTCTAGTGCTGGTTGCCAATGCATTTTGCTGCTTCTGAGACAACAGAGAGATTCCAAGCCCCACGCAGCCCTAGGAAAGTGCTGGTATTCTGGGATGCAGGCACTCTGATTCGGAATCAACACAGAAGAGCTGCCCTTGCCTCCACTCCCACCTGGCTGGGAAAGCCGGGATCAAGCTCTGTTGCCTGAGGGAGACTCACTGTTTCCACCTACAAAGGTGGCATAATGATGCCCATCGGCATCCACCAAGAGATGCCAGCAAGAGCCATGCCTCCTGACACTCCTTCAGCCACCTCACATTGCCTCCAGAGTTTTGGAACCACACTACCACTTTTCAGATGAGCCCAGAACCCATCACAGCTGGGCCCTATCAGGGCAGTCTTGATGGTTTCTGCCACAAATGGGCTTGTCAGCCTCTATACTCCTTCTCACATAAAGCACTCCCCCTGCATGGAGCTGACTGTCCCCAGTCCTCCAGGAATGGCTTTCTTCTTCACATGCCAGGTCACCGCTGTCTTCTGCCACTGAACTTGTGCTAGCTCCTGCATGTAGGCACTCATAGTTAAATCTTGTACAACTTTGCCCAAGAACGGTCAGTCTCCCTGTTAGCCAGTTGCCCCGAAGGGAGGACAGTTCACACGAATTTTAGCTACTGATATCACATCTTACACATAGAAGACCCTTGGTCACCAGTTTGCCAGTTTAACCTGTTCAACTGAGAGCATCCTGGGCCCCTCACAAGCTGCATCCCAAGGTCAGAGGCCTCTCAGGGGCAGAGGCTGCAAAACCAGTAGGTCTGAAACCAGGTCCCCTCCCCCAGACCTTCCTGGGAGCCTCTGCCCCATCCCAATCTACTGAATGAGAGTCTGGGAAAGAGGACTTGATCAGCCCATGACAATTGTCTGACGCAGTGAATGGGAGACACTTTCATAAATGATTTCAGGTTCCCTTCTGCATCAGACATTAGAACCCCATTCCTCCTGGAGAAAAGATTCTGATCTCACCCAGGTCGACAGGACTCTGACTTAATATTGCTTCTTCAGTTTCTCTGTCTAGCTTATTCTATGTGTTTGTCAGACACCTGTCATGTGGAAAGCTCTGCCCCAAACACCCTGAGGAATAAAACCCCTGTCACATAACATGATACAAATATGAAAAATATAATTTAGAAGAGAGTAAGAATGTCTTAAAAATCTCTCCATCCACTGTTTTTCCTTATGAGCAGAAGATAGAGGTCAATCAAAATTTTCTCTCACCTTTGCAAACCCTGGTGGCACCCAATGTGGACCCCATCTGTTCTAGAGACACAGATGAGTACAGTGCTTGGCTGTTTGCCTCAACACTCCTTCCCTCCTCCTCACCAAACAGACTCTCCAGGAGTCTGGCCGGGTCTCTAGCCCTGCCTGTGCAGCTGTATTAGGTGACCCAGGCCTGGCCAGAGTGACAGGTACACACAAGAAGCCAGCCCAATCACAATGACTCCCAGGAATTTTACGGGAGCCAAGAGTGAAATCTTCGGCTCCCTTTTACTGAAGGTCCTGGAGGATAGGACACCACAGCAGCTAGTCACAGTAGCCACCACGCCATCTAGAGGACACACTCTGGGGCTGTTAGCCCTCCCCCACACCACCCCACCCTGAACAAAGGCAACTGAGTAGAGAGGCAGAGTGAGGAGAAACCAAGTCCCATGACACCATTTGGGTCCTGAAGCTAGCTGCCACACCTGCTGCCAGAACTGCTCCTGAATTTTTTTATACCCTAAAAATCATTTGTTTTTAAAAACTACTGAAGCCAGCATGTGTGATGAAATGAGTTTCTGTCACCGAGCCACTAGTCGCCACTTGGTGACCAAAGCACACATTGCTCTGTAGATGAAACCTGCTTCAAAGATACTTTCCCATAACTAACACCATGGAAACTTGACTGTCACTGAAGATCAAAAACTATGTGTTCCATAGCCCTGCCACTCAGGGTGAGCTCTGAGCACCAGCAGGACCACATCTCCTGAGAACCTGTTAGAAATGCAGACTCATGGTGGGCATCCTGGTGCAGCAGGCGAAACCAGCCTTTGATTTGTCCGCATCCCATCCTGGAGGGCCAGAGTCAATCCTGCCTATCCCACACTTCCAAACCTGCTTCTAATGTGCCTCGGAGGCAACAGATGGTGGCTCAAGCATGTGGGCACCTGCCACCCCTGTGGGAGATCAAATGGAGTTCCTGGCTTTGGGCTGCAGGCGGGGCTTAGGTACAGGCATTTGGTGAGTGATCCAGCAGATGGAAGACTCTCCTCCCCTTCTTCCTTGACTTCCTCTGCTTCCTCTCTGTCACTGTGTTTTTCAAACAAGTAAATCAATCAAACAAAAAAATGAAATGGAGAACCGCAGCCCTGCCCACATCTTAACAAGAGTCCTGTATGACTAGCGTGCACATTGTAGATGGAGGGGCTTTATCTGTTGGAACGCTACCTCTGAGGCTTCCCACCCAGGAGACAATAAGCAAGTTACTTGGTTTCTCTGTGGTTTTCACGTGGATAACAGAGACTATGACAACCCAAGGTATTGGTGCAGCAGAACCAAAATGACTCTAGGTTTTAATCGTGGCTCTTCCAGTAACATTTACCTGGGGCAAGGTACTGAACTCATATTGGTGTCAGTTTCCTCTCCTGTGAAATGGAGATAACGACACCTGCCTGACAGAGCTGATGTCAGGATTAAGGTGGATCATGGATTAAGTGCTTGGGACTTTATTTGTCCCAAAATACCAGCATTCAATTAAGGGTACATATTATTGTTATTGTTGTACTCTTATAATTACTGTAATTTTCTACCCCAAGCACCTCATACAGTAGCAAGATTGTGAGATTTCAAAAATGATGCATGTAAAAACAAATGTGTAAACTGAAGAACTCAAGTTATAATCCTTTCCTGTTATGGACACTGAGGTTCCCAAAGGTTAAGCAACTTCTCTAAGGTCATCACAGCAGGAAGAGACACCACCTGGGTTAGCACTATGGCCTTCTAATCTGGTACACGTTGTATGGCTGTGCATGGCTTTGGCCAGATGGGGCTCCTCCCAAGCTTGCATCTTGGGCAAGGGCCCAGCTCCTACCAACGGTGAGCACTTCACGCACATCTGCAGATTGCACAACCTGACCATGTGATCCTTCTAAAAACCTGTGGATTTTGAACCACCCTAACTATCTGCCTCAAGTATTACAGCACCTTGGGACTCCAAGCTGAATTACCATTGTTAGTTCTCATTAGATACTGATGACAGCATCTCATTTGGAGAGCAAAGCTCCCTTGTGAACTCAGTGCATAAACTCAATTCCAGCCCCAGGGGAGAATCCAGGAGAACAGGAAACTTGCAGAACAGGGTGGGATCTTTCACTTGTCTGAGGGGAGCAATATATCTTCATTATAGAAGAGAAGAGAAGGGTGGGGAGAGGGTGAATGGAGAAGAAAGAAATTCACGCTTTGCCTGGAGCGGAACAGCTGGCAAAGGAACTTCAAAGGCAACAGTGCAAGCCAAGCAAAATCAGGCTTGGGCAACTGGTTGACATATTACTGATCTACGTATGTAGAGCTGTCGGAATGCTAGTCCCAGCTGGAGGCACCCTGGAGCCTCTGATTCCTGGCTGCAACCTAGAAGATGAGGGCAGATGAAGAATCGTGAGTCTTGAACAAAATGGTCCCTAAGTAAATGAGGAATGAAATGGAGCCACCTGGAAAAATTACTGTTAAACAAGACAATGGAAAGCACAAAATAATAGTGTAGACTTATATGCAAATGTAGCATGAATTGTAAGAAATCCAAATAGATTCAGTGTTCCAGTTACAAGAATTTCTACAAACAAACAGGAAGATACAGTACAAAAGAAAAGCACGGGCAACGACTTAAAAAGAGACTTCTCATCAAAGAAGGTCCAGATGGAATAGCCAATAAACACAGGAAGCAGTGACCAAGTTCAATTAATAATTAAGAAAATAAAAAAAGAAAACATACTAAACCATTATAGTCTCCTTTAGAGAGGCTAACTTGAAATGTCAGACAAGATAAAGTGTTAGCAAGAATGCAGACCATCGAAAATTCTCCGACTAATAGGAGTGTAAATTTGGAAAGAACTTTCTATCACCTGATAAAGTTGTGGGTAAGTGTGCGCCATGACTCAGCAGTTACAAGCCTAGTTATTTACACACTCTACGTGTTCATGTGCAGGTACACTGGGATAACATGTTTGGGAAGATTCCTATTAGTCTTGTTCCTAATATCTTACAACTGGCAGCAACCCAAATACCCTTCAGCAGTAGAATGGATAAATAAATTGTACAATAGGATTTTATATAACAATTAAAATAAACAGATACACCCAACAAAATTGATGACATAATGTTGAGTGAAAGAAGCAAGATCTGAAAAAATACAGACAGCTTAATTCCACTCATTGTAAGCCTAAAAGCAGGCAAAGCAAAGCTATAATTGCCATAGTTTGGATATGGCATGTCTTCTACAAGTTCATGCACTGGAAGCTTGATTCCCGGCGTGGCAATATTGAGATGGTAAAACCTGCAGGATATGTTGCTTTCAGGGAAACAAGTGATTAGGTCACTGCCCTCAGAAGGAATTAATGCAGGTCTCCAGGGACCCTGGTTAGTTGTCATAAGAGAGGGTTGTTATGAGAAAAAAAACAGTAAGGCTGATTGCTAAGTCTCTCTGGCTTCCTGTCTCACCATGTCATGTCTTCCATAAGCGCTCCTACCATCCCACCATCACAACCCATCTATCATGGGTCCTTATTCACCAGATGTTGAACTGATGGGGTCCCCTAATTTTGGACTTTACAACCTTGAAAAATGTGAGCTGATCAGACCTCTCTCTGTCTTTTTTTTTTTTTTATCGAAGTCTCCCACCTCAGGTTTTTTTCTACAGCAAAAACAGAAAAGGATCTAACACTCCTACAATGGTGAGGGACACATGACTGTGTGGCAGAACTACAAGGGAAAAGCATGGAAACATAATCCCCCAAGTCAGAAGCGTGGGGAGGGAGGGGTGGTGTAAGAGGATCCCCAAGGACTTCCTTAACTTTGATGGTAGTTCTGTGAGATTTAGCTTTGTGCTATAATTAGTCGCTTACCTCTATGCATGCTGTACTTGACAATAAAGGAACAAACAAACAAACAAAATGTAGAATGAACCAAACCAAAAACAAAGCCCCATTTGGAATGATGTGAATTTACCCCTGAGTTCTCACCATGACCTTCTCACCAGGTACTGCTTAGAACAGCACCTGGGACACAAATACGGAGAAGGAAGGAGACAACGAGTGACCGTGGGTGAGAAGGGAAGGAAGGATTCCTGAGTTCCTGCCTAGGTGGGCAGATGCTGGGACTCCCCCCTGGCTGTCAAGGAGGCACCTGCCCCCTCTGGCTTCCAACTGCAAGACTCCCTCTGCAAACATCTTTCCTGTAAAATCTTCCTCAGTTCCAGGGCAGTCCCAAGCATCCCTTTACATGTGTGCTTACCTCAGGGAACATTTTCTTACATGTGGCAGTGGTTTTCCTTCCCACATGATTTCTTCAAAGCCTTCCTAGCCTCCCCCTTCCCATAAAACTTTGGTCAACGTCTGATCACTCGGAGGAAATGAGTTGATGCCTGTTGAATGACTGAGTGACTGAACGCAAGTTTTACCTTCAGCTGCAATTCCTTGTATCTCTTGGACATCCGAATGAGCAACTTCTCACCGTTGATCACAGCAGACTTTTCCTGGTAGTACTGGACCATGGCCTGGGCAGCTTCTGTGTAGGCCATCTCTAAGAAGGCCTAGAGAAGAAAGGAAGGACAGATCCTGGACGTAACTTCAATGGTCTTCAATAAAATTCAGTACAAGGTATGAATCTAAGTGTGAGAGGTTCCAGAACAGACAAAAGCAATCAGAGGTGACTGAAGTTAGGCACAATTGAGCTTCTCTCTGGGCCTACCGACTAGAGGGATGTAAGGAAACCCTATAGTAATTTGGAAATATCCTCTAACTTGACTGGGTGTTAATTACATGGATCCTTGCATATAAAACATTAATGGAGCTGTGCACTGAAGACAAACCTGCTTTATGCACTTTAGATATTTTATACCTCAATAAAAAGGGGAAAAATCAGTGAGAGGAAGAGTTGCCTTTGATCCCATCTGTTCAAAGAGTTGTCTTCATTCCCTTCCCCAAAAGTGCTTGTTATTGGCTGGCTCTTCTCCGGATTCCCATGGTCTCCAAATGTTACTCTTTCTAAGGTATGCCCATCCAGGGGCAACGTCATGCCACAGAGGCTCCTCTGGGATGGGAGAGGCCAGTGGCCCGCAGTTCCCCATGGGAGGCTGCTGCACCTGTGGCCTGGGGCTGAGCCCTACAAAGCCTGCTAGTTGGTACGGCAGCCGGAGGCAGAGACACCAGCTCTGGTTATTTGAGCTATTGCTTTCCTTACATATCCAGGACATACTAAACAAACAAACAAATATCACTCAAGCCTCAGAGGCCCCATGCCTGAGAAAAGACACTGTCATCATAAGTTAGAGAAAGGGAGACCCTGGGATACATTTACACCACATTTTCCCCTCTTCGTTTGACTGTTCAGATAAAACATTTTCTGACAAACGGATATTTTCCTCTAGGCTGTGTCTTCTGGGAATTTCTAAGCAATCTCTTTTGATGCCTGCCAGTTTACCCCAGTGGCTGCCATGATGAACTCACTGCTATTACTTCCTGGATTTGTTTGGGCTGTACTACTCTGATGATGCCCGCACTCTTGTCCCTCTGTGTGGACAGAGAAAAGTGGTCCAGAACTGGGAGTTTTCAACATGAAACACACTCCCCTGCTGTGCCCCATTTTCTTGATCTGTATGGGATAAACCAGCCCATTCCCTTGCCCTTCTGCACTTGTGAATTTCAGATGCAAGACTCCTCTCTGATTTGGTCATGATCCATGTGGAAATGTGCACAGCTAAGGAGTTTATTCCTGACTGTTTTATTTCACATTCTTCCACCTGGCTTTCTAAGTGCCCCTTTGTGGCCGGAAAGATCTGCAGCTCTCACTCGTCAAATGGGAATTATACCAACCTGAGCATTCTCAGTGTATCAGTTTGGCAAGCTGAATTATGTACATTTGCCCAAAATTTGAATCCTGTGTAGTGGGAAGAAAAGGAAGCAGTGGGGTGTCTGTCGCCAGATTGGCAGAAAGAAGCTGTTGACAACCTGATATGGTTTTGAGATTCCAAAGTTCACGAATTAATTTAGGAAATAATTTCTATAATTCCTATTCTGATTCATGCTGAATAATCACTTACTAAACAAAAAGATACATTTTTTTTTCTGATTTATGACAATCTACTCCATAAACTCCCCCTATGGGGGATGAATTGGTACAGCAGGCTGAGCCAACATCTGCGTTGGTTCAAGTCCCCAATGGTTCATTTCCAATCCAGAGGACTGTTCACACATCTGGGGAAGCAACAGCAGATGGTCTAAATGCATGGGCCCCTGCTACCTACATGGGAGACCTAGAGTTCCAGTCTCCTAGCTTCATCCTGGCCCTGGCCATTGCAATCATTTCAGGAATGAAGCAGTGGGTGGAAGATTTCTGTTTCCCATTCTCTTTTGCTGCAATCTTGCCTTTCAAGTAAGTCAGTCAATCTTTAAAAAAACAATGTCCCCTTTTGACTTTAGAGATAAAGACAAACACATTCAGTCCCAAAGAGCTCAGTCAGTTCCCACAGGTTATGGACTTTTAGTGCCTCAGACGATGTAGACATCTTCCATTCCCAAGTTTTCTCCTGTATGAGCCACAGCGCCTCACACATTGATGTCAGGCAACAGTAAGAATACCCACTCGGTGGACACTTGTGAATTTCAGATGGATGGCTTTCTCCACATGTAGGCAGTTCTGGATCAACTCTAAATGCAGGCCATCATTTCTGACACACTTGTCCAAGACCGTGGCATTAGCTCAGAAGTGGGCAATATAGCAGAAACTCAAGCCCATGGATTTCTGCTTGGGGCCAGTCATCTCTGTATAAATGAGCACCTCATTCCAAAGTGCCTCCCCCAGCCACAAGGTGGTTCACAAAGACCCATGTCTTTTAGAAGAAGGGTAGGGTAAAATGAGGGAAAACAATACAGCATCCCCACTAAAACCTCTGTGCGGTGCCAACAGCATGCCAGCTGTATCATTTCCTTAGGTTACAATTATTCCTTTGAAATACACATGCTGGTATGCGCACCTGGCCTAGCATTTAAGACATCCACATGCCAAGCTGGAATACCTGCGTTTGTACCCAGAATGTGCCACTCACCAGCTTCCTGCTCATGCAGACCCTGGGAGGTGGTAGTAATGGTTGCTGCCACCCATAGGGAAGACATCACTCAGCTCCCGGCTTCAGCCCAGCCCTGTCTTGCCCTGTCCCATCTGCTACAGACATTTGGGGAGCTAGCGAAAGTAGGGGTAGCTTTCTCAACGACCCCCATAACAAAAATTTAAGAATAGAACATACAATCACAGAAGTGTACTTGTGTGTATGAGTATAGGTCCCCTTTTATCATTGTGTCCTTTATTCCACAAATGTTGGAGTGAAATGCCCACCCTACCTGGTTGGTGGACTTCATGAGGATGTAGTTTGTGACTTTCCCAAAGGGCAGCCCCAGGTTTATGACGTCATTCTCGGTGCAGCTTCCTTCTGGGAGATTGCAGATGTGTACCACACGGCCATCACCTCTCCGCTGTACGAGCAAATGGGAACAGAGAGCAGCTGATGGTCAGCAAAGCATGTTCCCCTCTCCCATCCTCCTCCACACATGGCTGCCTGCCCCCACATAACGACTGTAAACAGCAATATACAGAATGGCTACAGAAAAAATGCCAATGTGGGATACACAAGAAACGCCAATTTTATAACATTTATTTACAAAGACTATTCACAATTTTGGGGTGAGCAGTAACACCCTGGATTACTGAGGAGTTGAGTAAGCAAGTACACCCATACATATATCACTAGTAGGAGGCTATATATTTTAGAATTCTTATGAGCATATTAAATGAGCTTAAAACTAGCATACAATCCCACCATTCCACTTCTAGAAATCCATCCTACATAAACAAAGAGACCAGTATGTAAAGAATTAGAAGATTGTTTCAAAAAAAAGTCATGAAAAACTGGAAGCAAAAGATTATTTTTGTATAGATTTTTTTTTGAAAACTCAGTTTTTCATAATATGTATTTTCTTATTACAGTACTTTATGAGGAGGCAAAAAAAAAATTAGAAACAGGTTGAGTGTCCCACAATAGGGGTATGGTTGAGTAAAGATGGTTCAAGTATCCAATGGAAAACTACAAGGATCAATGTGGTGGCACAACACTGTACACTGCCACCAGCACTGCCGGCATCCCATGGTGGAGAGATGGTTCAAGTCCCTGCTCTACTTCAGATCTAGCTCCCTCTTAGTGTGTCTGAGAAAGCAACAGAAGATGGCCCGAGTACTTGGACCCCAGTCCCAGTCAACCTTACAGGAGATCCCCCAACGGAGTTCTGGAGTCCTTGATTCTGCCTTGCCCTGCCCTGGCCCTCAGGGCCATTTGGAGACAGTACTAGTTGATGGAAGATTCTCTCTGTATCTCTCCCTTATTCTCTGTAACTCTGTCTTTCAGATAAATAAATAAACAAACCTTTAAAAAGGAAAAGAAAACCACATTGCCATTAAAAAGATGTAAATGTTCTGATATGGGGTAATTTTGAAGACAGAGTGTTAAGAAAAATATTGGTTGTCAAAGAGTATGCATACCATGATGCTATTTTTTTTTTGGTCAAAACTAATGTGAGGACAACACAGACTCAGCAGGTGTTCAATTAAAATGCTGATAATTACCGGAACTGAGAGATGGGTATACAAGCATTAATTATAGTAATGTCTAGAGTATACTATGCTTGAAATATTTGCACGATGGAAGAGTGTTACAGGATATCAGCACAGATGTTGACAAGAAGGCCACGTGCTACTTATCCTCAGAGGTCAGCACAGGAAGGAGAGAGGGGAGCTATGCTTAACCTTCCCCACACACACCCTACACTGTTGGACAATCCAAGAAAATTCTAATAAAGAGAAAATGCCTGTGGGAAATGAAGACACAGTGTTCGTATTCATGGCAAAAGCTGTGGTTTAGGCCAGTGGGTTTCAAAACATCTTCCTGTCTTGGAATTGTTTCTCCACATAAAAACTGGCTCACCAGCTCCAAACTCTTAATAAATAAACAAGAAACTGTTATGGTCCAAACTTAGGGTCCATCCCCTGCCACCCCACTTAGCAGGGAAGCCAAGGCCTAGGGGGAGGAATGCATCGGGTCTAGTAAAACCTTGCTGACGTCTAGTTCTCCCAGGAGCTTCAGGGATTAGTAGCCAGGACCCAATCCCACAGGAAAGCAAAGATCACCATTTTCCAAAGTGAAAACTCATTCTAATAGCAGAGCCTACATCTGCACAACCACAATTTTCTGTGATACATGAGCTCTACCGTCTAATTAACATTTGATGTGGATCTGGCTCAGCTATGATAATGCAGGGGTAAATCTGAGCCCTCACCCCTAACTAGTGCTAATACTTGGGTAATTCTGCCCAAAAAGCCCTCATTTGTTTCCATGAAGATAATTAGAGTCAACAAGAACTGCCTTTTATGGTTCAGGCCTGGACTGAAGACAGCCAAGTCCCTCTGTCAGAGAACCCAGAGGTTAAGCGCATGCCCAGAGAGCGGCAAGCACACAGCGTGTGGCTCAGGCAGCATCGAGAGCATCCCCTTGCCTTGCTAAAGTGTCAATGGGGGACCAAGTCAGAGCCTGGCTTGGGCCAACAGAGCTCTCCTGCCTGGGGACGACAGAAGGAGGCTGGCAAGAGGGAGGGCGCTGTTCCAGAGTGCTGACGGAGATGTAGACCCCGTGGTAATGTGCTGGTCCTCTGAGATTATCAGCAGGAGGGCTGAGGCTGGCGTGCTGCCCAATCTCTTCTTGATGGACTCCCATGTGACTCTGCTATGGTCGGTATGGGTAATGCATTTAGAGAGGAGCGCAGATGGGGACAAGGTAGTGTGCAAGTGGGGGTGGATCTCACTCCTGGCTTGTCCAGTGACACAGTGAGCAGCGCCTCTGTTGTCTCTTCAGCTGACACAAAGGCTTTGGAGGCCTGCATGTGAGTGGAAGCACGGTCAGCTGCTGCTGCTTGGTGACAACATCTGCCTCCCACGGAACAAACACCCTTACCACCTCCAATCCCTGCAGAATGAGGTGTGCTCACACTGTGGACATTCCTAAAGGCTTTGACAGGAATGGGTCCTGAGTCTCACTCAGACTTTAAAACAACAGTTCCTGAGTGACTGTCCCAATCAGAGATAGATGTTTGAGTTTTACTGACTGCCTTGTTGCTATTTATAACCACAGAATTTCATATATTAATTTAGAGTTTTTCACATGATAAACTACAAACACATCTTAAGTATGCCAGGCTATTGATCTCTCAAGGAGAATGCCAAGTACATCCACTGACCATGAGCAGCTTCTTCATGACTTTCTAGAGAAACCATGCATGAGAATGTTGAGACTTGCCAACCTTGAGAATGGCTGTATCAATAGCTTGCTTGTGCTGCATCTGGCTTCAGGGTGTGGTAAATCCTATCTCATCTACAAGAGAAAAACTTTTGATGTGTTATTTTTGGGCCAATACTTTATTTAAGATAGTTTATCTAAATGCTCTTCTGTTGTTTTTCTAAATTAGCTTTTTGTTGTGGTTAAGTTCAACTGAGGGTCAAATCCATAGATGATGCCTAAAAGCGATGGGGGAACAGGGGACATGACTGTTCTAGTCCCAGACAGTTTGGTATAAGCGTGGTTAATATTTGCCCTCTGTCCAGAGAAGTCTGAAATGGAAGGGCGAAAGAGAACAGCGAGAGGAAGGAGGGTGAGAGAGGTCCCTGGGCACTTAATTTACTGGAGGTGTGGCGAGCAAGCAGCTTGGTGCTGGGGAGTAATTCCCCTCCTGGGTTCTCTGTGAAGCCCCAAAGCATCTTAGAAGTACAGAGTGCAGTGCCCCTGCTCATCTTAGCGAGCTGCAGTCCAGGCAGAGTTGCAGGGAGTCCCAGACCCCGTGTGGACTATGTGCTCCCCTCATAGCTATCATAAAGTTTAACTGATAAATTAGGCACAGTGAAGGCTATCGATAATAATGACTAATAGAACAGAAAAACTTTAACACCAAACTGCAGTAAGAGTCCCCTAAAATGTATGGAGTGATTGTTTCCAGGATTTTCTACACTGTAGTTTCAGACCATCATTGACTGGACATAACTTAAGCCACAGGGAAATGAAAATTGCAGTAAGGGGGAATACTGTGCTGCAGAAGAGCAGGGGGCTAAACATTGTGTTTGACACTCAAAAACCTGTTAGAGACCACACGTAGAGTCACTACCAAGATAGTAAAATGGTGTCAAACTAAACTTGGCCAAACAATTCCTCCATACTTTTAGGTCAATCACAATGAACCTAACTCAATACACAAAGTAATTGAGAGCCCAATTCAGAAATGTATTTCTTTAACAAACAGCTGAGTCTCCCCAGATTACTGTGGTTGACTGGGTATGTTGCTACACGGACCAACTAGTACTCCTTTCTGGGTCTCAGGTTCCCCATGTCTGGGTGAGGGAGACAGCCTGTATGTTTACTGCCTTCTGCATGTGTAAAATAGCTATGCTCTTGTGCCGCTGAGTTCTAAAAGTTCACTCCTGCCAGAAGCTGTGCCAAGCTAAACCTCAGACCCAGGATAATGACAGCTTTTCTCACTGGGCTCAGCATAAACAGGAAACCAGGTCTTTCCTCCCTCTCTATGTGAAGGGCTGTTCAACAGTGCATCTGCCAGAAGGTTGCTCATCTTAGCCACATGCCTGCACAGACATGCTTGTGTATGTTGATGGTGGTGCCCTCCTGGCAGAGCTAACGAGAAGCACCAGGCAATAGCCCCTTGCTTGTGAGCTCTGCTGCAGCCCGGATGGCGGCTGCCACAGGGCCCAGGAGGGTTGAGAGGATGCACTGAGATGAATTAAAGACACACAGGCTTTGCACCTTTCCGAGGGGAGACCCACATCCGGTGTGTGCTACACAATAAAGAGGCACCATGGCCAGGGCTGGATGAGAATCAGACAGACCCCCACATGCATCTCTGTTCCCTGCTGACTAACTGTGGGTCAGTTACTGAATTTCTTCAAGCCTGAGTTTACTTGTCTGAAAAAGGGAACATTAAAAAAAATCAATTCCACGGTACTACTTAGGAGACAAAACACTGCATTTTATTTCAAGGACCACGGTACGAAGCCTTGCCTCCAGCAGTCTCCAATTAAAAACTGTTTGCTCCTTCTTTCCTCTAACAGTTAAAGAACGTGCTAAGATGATCCTGCCTTGTGAAAATATCAATGGGATTATGCAAGAGAAAGTCTATGTTCTTAGAAAATCACGCTGAGCTAAAATAGAGGTGAAGGGGTATGATGTATGTGCCATGTTTCGGTCACACTGCATAGCTGATTAGAAAGACTAGATCAAGCCAAGGATGAAAAAGAGAGAATGATGGACATGAAGGGGTAGTGAATCCAGGCAGAAATTTTATGGGAGGTTCTTCCAGCTTTTCTTAAGCTTTTACATAAACCGGGAATATGTTAAAAGTTAGCAAAAGTCGATTGGAAAGGCAGGGCTGTGAGGCAGAGGAGCAGATGGGTTTAGATAGAAAGCCCTTACCAGCTTGGCTTTTGAGCACAAGGTGTTGATAGGTCTGGTTCACATCCACGCCCCTGCTCTGCCTGCTGAGCTCCCAGGAGGCACATATGTGATGTGCACTTGAAGTTTTCCAGCCCAGTGTCGAATCTCTAAGAGAGCGAAGGTATGGGGGCTGTAACCAAAGCCCTCATTACCAGCCTAAAGGGAGGCTCTCCCTTTCCCATCTGCCACGAGAGGCTCCCATCTGCCTGGAGGCCAGCACTGAGCCAGAATGCTCCCACTGGGATCTGGGGCCTGCGCTGTCCATTTGCACACGCTGGGGCTATGCATGGAAAACCAGATGCTCCTTCCAGTGGTTCATCTCAGCGAGTCGCAGACCTCTCAGCTCACCCACAAACTGAATGGGAATGTGAAAGGTACAAAGAGAACTGAATAGCAAGATCCTGGCACTTTTCTCAATGCCCTAATGGTGGATAGTAGATGCTCTTATTTTTAAAAAAAAAAAAAAAAAAAAAAAAAAAAAAAAAAGAAGAAGAAGAAGAAGAAAGGAAGAAAGAAATAGGCTTAGCAGATGAGTACAAAGATGTCCATTTCAAACAACTCAGTGTTGCAATAAAATGTGGCTTAGAGTAAGAAAGGCCTGCAGGGTCAAAGAAGTCTTTCCGAAGCTACAAAGTTTAGATTCCCTCTTCAATAAATCACCCCGTGCTCTGACCCGAACTCTCCCAAATCCACCTGGCAGAATCTGTGGTGCTGTGCAAAGTACACCTAACAACACACTCAGGGCAACTATTCATTCCTCTCAGTGTTGGTTTTCGACACCTGATGGCAGAAAACAAATGGGTGGAGACTCCAACACTGCAGGGTTTGGCGTGATCAGGAGGGTTGACATGGCCGCCTCTACTGACATCCTCAACTATTCCACACAACAGGTGAGCTTTGATGTGGAGTGACTGTGTTTCACTCATGCCAGACTTGTGTGCAGGTTTGGGTGGGCAACCTGCTGAACAAATTGAATGGCCCTGGAGATCTTGGAGTCACAGAACATTAATCTGGGGGACACCTGGCCCACACCGATCACCGCATGTAAGGACACTGGAGCCTGGGAGAAATGGAGGAACCTGTTGGCCAATTAAATAGTGGCAGATTTGTAATTAGAACTCAACTCTCACTGAAAACTCTGTCAATCTCTGATTGATTAATGATGGTAAACACATATAATAAATGATGCCACAAAACAAGATAAAGTTTTACACTTTGAAGTGGAAAGATGTCCAGGAATTAATTAGAATATATACTGACAGCTTATGAATGAAAAAAAATCTCCTAATATCACACACATATGGCATTATCTGATTTTTTCAAAAAATGCTTTTACTAATTAAATATACACACACACATTAGCTAGAAATAGTTATAATAGGGATATTTAGCCTCAGTTTTTTTCTGAAAAACTGCATTTTCTAATTTTTAGATTTCTGTTACTGTTGTAATTTTCTCCTACCATGTCTGTACTACTTTTGTGACAAGCAAAATTACTGAGGATTTATAAAACCAAAAGGGTTTAGCATTCCTGCAGAGCTTGTTAAGCTGCCACTTGCAATGCCAGGATCCCACTGGTTCAAATCCCAGCCACTCTGCTACTAAACCAGCTCGCTGCTAAAGTGCTTGGAGAGCTGTAGAAGATGCCCTGAGCACTTGGGCCCCTGTCACCACAGGAGAGACCAGGATGGAGTTCCAGGATCCCGGTTTTGGCCTGGCCCAGCACCAGCTATTCCAGAGTGAACCAACAGACAAAACACCTCTTTCTCTTTCTGCTTCTTCTCTCTGGTCACTCTGTCTTTCAGAAAAATAAATCCTCTAAAAACAAAACAAAAACCTCCCCAGCAGTTGTCTTGTCCCCTGCCCTGGATGTTATCCTGGAAAATGCATGGGTGGCACTTGCTAAAGGGCCAGGAGCCATGAGAGACTGGTAATGTGTGTCCCACATCTACAACAACTGCTCACAAAGAAGTCAGGAGACCTCACTGGCTGAGCCAGTATAGTCAGACAGAAGTTCTAGAGACATCCAGAGGGGCAACCCATGACTTCCAGTCTCACATAGACATTTGCTTCTCTGAGCCTGGCTTTCCTTTTTTCTACAAGTCCACAGCATGCACAGAGCCGGTGGGAAGGAAACCATCAGTAAACCAGATGCTTTTACTGGGCTTGGCCTGCGAGGCCTATCACCATGTCAGCCAAGGTGGTTGTGAGCGCTGCACGGAGGCTGTACGGGACAGGCAAAGCACAGCCCAGAAAATCATTTACTGCTTGAGAAGGCTCCACTAGCCCTTTCAGAAACCTGATGACTCTGTTTATGCCAACTATGGCAACCAGGGGTGAAAGTGCTCAGCTTGGTCAAATGGCAGGAGCTTAAGTGAAAGTGAACATAACCTCTGGGGACCCAGGGCAGGAAGCACTGGGGCAGACACAAACCACCCCCGGCCCACCATGGCCAGCACAACCGGCACATAGCTGTTGCATCAATGGCCCACCTCTGTCAAAAATAATCATGGAGAGGAAAGGCTCAGGCAAGGGCAGGGTTGAGGGCAGTTTGAGTTAGCACTGTTTGCAGCAGGAAGGGCACAGGGGCCAGTAGGAGGCCTGATGTGGCTCCTGGGATCGATGTAGATTGTGAGGCAGTTCAAAGAGAGACATTTTGCAGGCTCATGTCCCACACCCTGAACTACTTGATTTTCCTGCTTAACACTAAAGAGCTCTAGAAGCAGCAGTTGGTGTTTGTGGAACACCAGGGTGGGGTCCTGGGTGCACCTCGTTTCACTTCCCCTACAAGCTTCTGAAAAGAGGGACCTGAATGTTATCAGAGAGACGAGGCCCTGCACAAGGCTAGGACACACCTGCAACAGAAAGCACACCCAAGACCTGGGGGAGCTTGGAGCAGGATATTCCTCTGTTCTCCAAGCCATTTCTTCTGCTTGGATTCTCATAACAAGTGAAACTTTTCAAGCAGAAAAAGCACTCACAATGTCGCAGCTCACTGGCCACGCTGGAGCCTGGCGGAAGAGCCTCTGGGAACAGAGAAATCACCCTTGGGTGGGTCCCTGGTTTGACTTCCTCACATCTCTGATAGGGGGGCTGTCCTGATCATTAAGGAACAGCCTCCTAGAAGGAAAGTGACAATGACTTGGCCCACACAGTTGCTGGTTCCAGAACTAGCAGTTGAGTTTGGGTCTCTTGGTCCCAGGCCCACATTAAGGGCCCTGGTTCTGCAGTCAGCACTGGAGGGCCATGCTGAGGCCTGGACATCTCAGAGCTGTGCTGCCTGTGTCCCTTCCAACCCCACCGAGTCCCCTTTACAGAAGGGCTCCTATCACACCAACTTTCCTTCCTGTGCCCAGATTCCAGAATGAAATCAGTAAGCCCTAGACCCTGCCACCCAATCCAGTCTTTCCCGATTCAGGCACCTCAGTGCTTGTAGTATGGTCTCCCACGTGCCCCCAACAGCCCAGGGGTACAGGTTGGACATGTCAGCACCTCTAACAGGACACAAGTCATGTGGCCGGGAGTCTGACCTCAAAGACAAAGGCTTGGCCTCAGTGAAACCGGCCAACTCACTAACTGGGGGCTGGCCCAAGGTTACCACAGGCCCAGGCACTGCTCTGAGTGGATGCGATGCAGAGAAGGTAAACCACACAGTTCTCCTTCCCCAAAATGTGGACCTTCAGAAAGCCACTCTCTTGTAGCACTTTTCCCATTCGACATCACAAACAAAAATAAAAAGAAACCTCATTTGCTACTGTCTGCAAGTTACACTTCATGGCCGGCCCCTTCCCTGTTTTGCACAAGTGTCTCAACATGTAGAGAAATCGCATGTGAAGGCCTGCTCTCCAGAGGCTGTGTCTGTTGCAGGCACCCTCTATTCAGGCACTGCCAAACCCATTATGCTTTATAGTTGTTTTGCTCATCTCCCAATAGACAATCCAGCTGACGGGGAGGAGGAAGGACGCATAGCAGGAAAAGTGGCAAACAAGTGAAGGAGTGAGTGGTCACACCGCGCGAAGAGGAGGAAAGGCAGATGGCCTTGGCGATGGAGGACTGCAGAAACCACCACTCCACCAGATGCACAGGAGTCGTTCCACAGCATCGCCCATCCCTCCAAGGAGCCTCACGTTCAGACACATACCCTCTTTCTGGTTCAAGTTTAAAATTATTTAACCTCTGCTAGGAAATGGTCCACTTCAATAAAACATCAAAAGATTCCTTCGAAAAAGCAACCTAAAAGCTGAAACATATCCCCGCCCCTCACCCTGTCCAAACTAGTGTCGGATCCAAGACAGTTTGCGTGCCTTTGATTTCAGGAACGTATAGCAATGTTTCCACTCATGCATCTCAACGCTGGCTGGGCGGATCACAGTGTTGCCGACCTATCTAGTTGACCCAAAATCCAAGCCTCCCCAGCTTTGTCCCAGTCTCTCCTGCACCTCTGCAACCAGATATTCCAGGTACTACAAGACGAAAATAACCATGTAGAAATGCCTTGTTTGTGTTTTCTTCTGTACTCACGTTCGTCCCCGAGGAAGCTGAAGGAAATGTGGGGTTTGACTGAGCAAACGTCCTTGCTGGAATGGCTGCATATGATGTTCCGAGATTGGAGACAAAGTCTGAAGGATAGACCACACAAACCAGTGAAGGCGAGTCAGTTACCTTCAGAAGCCATCGCGAGAACGTAAGTGGGAAGAGAAACAGGACAGTGCCTGTGCGCATCTTCCTTAGCGATCAGTGTGATGACGGGCCACCCTGACTCTCAGCGAAGCTGTCTGTGTAAAACATCCCAGAGAACATGGGTTTTCCTGGGAACCAACTGCTTTGTCGGAGTATAAGAAAGGCATGGTAAGGGAAGTCCTTCTTGCAAAGGATGTGGCCTGAAGGCTGAGGGGAAGCTCGACTGTGCTTCAGGCTGCTGAGCTACCTGGTCTCACTCACCTTCGTTCCCAGCGGGGTTGTAAACAGCTGTGCTGTTCGGGGAGGCACGCAGAGCTCCCTCTGCAGGACTGCGAATGCACCGCACGCCGGCGCTGGAGAGGAGAGAAAACAGAACCGGCTCCTCAACAAGCTAAAAAGAATGACCGCAAGACCCCACAATTCCACTCCAGGACTGCTACCCAAGAACAGCAAGTCAAGCTGCTGGCTACAGGGCTGGAATCCTACATGGGAGCCAGTTGATTTCCTGGCTGCTTCACTTTCACTCTAGCTTCCTGCTAACATACCTGGGAAAGCAGCAGGAGATGTCCCAGTGTGGGAGACCTGGATGGAGTTTCTGGCTCTTCACTTCGGCCTGGCCCAGCCCTCCCTGGCTGTTAACAGATATTTCAGGAGCAAACCAGTGGATGAAAAGTCTCTCAGGCTTTCTAACTTCCCATCTCTCTTTTAAAATCTGATTTTTAAGTAAATACATAAATATTTTGGGCCCTAGGTGATGGCTCAATTGGCTAATCCTTCTCCTTCAAACACCAGGATCCCATATGAGTGCCAGTTTGTGTCCCAGCTGCTCCACTTCCCATCCAGCTCCTTGCTTATGGCCTGGAAAAGCAGTAGAAGATGGCCCAAAGCCTTGAACTCCTGTACCCACACAAGAGTTCCGGAAGAAGTTCCTGGCTCCTGGCTTCAGCTTGGCTCAGTTCTGGCTATTGCCGTCACTTGGGGAGTGAACCAGCAGGTGGAAACTTTTTCTATCTCTCCTCTCTAAAAATCTGCCTTTCTAATGAAAACAAATAAATCTTGAAATAAACAAATAAACCTTTAGAAATACTTCTCTATTAGTTAAAAAAAAAAAAAAACCACTGGTGTTTAAACAAACACTTGTACCTGAATGTCCCTAGCAGCTCTACTCACAATAGCCAAAAGGTAAAACAACCCAATGTCCATCAAATAATGGATAAACAAAACATATAACAGACTATGTATTACTCATCCACGGAAAGTCTGTATATGTCAGCAAGTGAAGGGAAGCTGAAAATATTCTGCAAAGTTTAAAAACACATCCACCAAAAAAAAAAATCACATATATTGTATGATTCCTTTTATGAAAAGTTTACAAGAAGCAAATTCAGTGAGGAGGAAGATGGGCAGGTAGTTGCCAGGGCTGGGCAAGGGGAAGGAGCGTGACCAGCTCTGGGCTATGAGGTGTGATGAAGACAATTGTGGGTGAAGACAATCGTGGATCCAGAATCTTTGCACAACCTTGTCGGTGTGCTAAATGTCACCAAACTGGCAAGACTGAAATGGTTAAAATGGTATCTTACTGTGGATTTCACAATAAGAAGGGGGCAGCCAGAAAAGGGCGCACTTTTCAAAAAAATTATTTTTTAAACTGCCACTGAACAGATACAATGTAGAACTTGGCTGCTCAGTTCTTTTCACCGTGTGCAGGGCAGCGCAGTGGTACTAAGCGGAGTCTCACAGTTGACACAGCCATCGCTGCTGCCCATCTCCTGAGCTCCTGAGCTGACAGAACCAAGTCTCCGCACACATGAAGCACAAACGCCCAATCCCCGGCCTTGGCAAGTGCTCTCCTGCTATCTGGTTGCAAGCCTCACTGCCCTAAAGGCCGCTGGCCAGTGGGACTGCTCGGCGTCTGTCCTGTTCTCACCAGCTTACTTCACCGAGCACGGTGCCCTCAAGGCGCATTCATGTCGGCATTCCACTGTGCAGCAGTCCGTTGCGGGGACAGACGACATTTTGCTTATTCATTCATCTGTCAAAGGGCATTTGGATCGCTTTCACTTTGGGGCTGCTGGCAATAACAAAAACAGACCTTCTGCATGCACATGTTTCCAACACTTAACCTTGGCCATCTGGTCTACATGCCTGGGCCACTCTCTTCCGTGGGCCCTGTGGTGCCTGGGGGTGGGGCGACTACCGAGAGAAGGCAGCTCTCAGGAGAACCCAGGCATGTCACTCGGCACTCTCAGGGCAAAAGCAGACGTCTTTACGTCAGCCCCATGGGCTCAGGGTGTGGCCTCTGGCACTGCCCTGGGTCCTCTTCCTTGTTCTGCCCTGTTTGTGCTGTATGTTGCTTGGGCATTGCAGCGCCACACCAGCTATAGGACCGTCAGGTTGGGTTTTCCCCAGATCACAAGGGGTCCTTCTACGCCCTCACAAGGACTGCTTGGTGAGGCCTCTCCCAAACGCCCAAGTTAAATGCAAGGGACCAGCCTCCAGGGCCTGTGTACACGCGCGCGCGCACACACACGCGCGCGCACACACACACACGTCCCTCTTGGCCAGATGATGTTCTCGGCTGAGCACTTACGGCGTTCAGCACCAGCAGCGCTATTTACTTGTTCCTCTTGTTTTTCGTCTATCTCCTCCCCCACCCCTGTTAAGGGGAAGCGCTTGAGGACAGGGATTCTGCTGGTCTCACTGCACCCAGATGAGAGTGCACCTTGCAGCAGGCGCTCTGTGAGTCTTTTCTGAGCATGGCAAATGTGGACTGGCCACCTGGACAGCACTTACTTTTCAGAGAAGACCAGGCATTTCTGAGCATGCAGCTTCCCTTTCACATGCAGCTCCCAATCCTAGGTCAGAAAGAAAGAAAAGTGACCAAACTAGGACTGAGTCCACGGGAGAGTGGGGCGGAGGGACATGGTCACCAGCTGGGCAGGGAGCACAGACAGCCCAGGGGCTCCACCACATCCTGGGGACACAAATCTCTCCTTCCCTTCCAGGTCCTTCCTCTGCTCCTGCCTCCCAGCCCTCACACCATCAACCCCATGCCCATCTTGGGTAGCAGCTCAAGCTGGCAAGTCCAACCTCCCTTCCTCCACCCAGTGGGTCCTTGTATCCACCACGTGGGCCCCACTCCTCCTCTCTGGCGCACAGTCCCCGCCCACTTCTGTATCTAGCTGGGAGACCTCCACAGGTGCACTTACAGTGAATTTTCAGTCATTAGAAAAGACTTTTGAGAGACAAAAGTCCTGAAGCACTGCCCAGAATCAGCCAGTCCCCTCTCAGACTGGAATGAAAGAGGATGTCCCAGGCAACTTTTTCAAGATGTATGTTCCTAATGAGACCAAGCAGCGGGGGATGGCACGCCCTGGTAGCAGACCTTTCAAGTGGGGACTAGATCGTGCCCTGGGATGGGATGGAAGATGGGGGGCAGGACAGCCCAGAGCTTAAGAGGGAAAGACCCTGGGCCCATCAGACCACTTTTTGAATGCCCACTCATTCACTAGGAGGGCCTCTGCTTTCTACCAGAAGAATGAGAATCCTAGTAGTGTCTACCTCATAGGGTTACCACTGGCACACAGAATAGAGTTCACATAACATTAGCTATTCTAGTTATTACTGCTTTGGAGTACTTCATTGCTGTGTAACATACTCTGGGGGAGAAACTCACAAAGAATGGATCTTTATTAGCAGTGGCCCAAAGCTGTCCCCAGTAGCGAAAAGGTACCAGTCAGCTTTGTGTCCACTCTACAGCTTAGGAGGTTGAGGCCCACTCCAGCAAGATGTCTAAGGCCCAGCTGGGAACTACTCCTCTGGTCTCCAATCCACAATTATGCTGTTTCTCCCCACCCCCTTCAAACTTGGCTCAACTGTACACTCAGAGAATGGTAGCTTCTAGGCATAAACCACAGGAGAAAGCAATGTTTTTGGCTGACCCCTCCACACCCCCAGGAAATAGGGGACATAAATTCCTGAGCCCGTGGGTTTGCTCAGTTTCCCACCCAGCTTTGGCTTTCTCTAGAGAGGAATCTCTTCCTCACCTTAAAGCAAGGGACAGGCCCAAGTTCAGTTCTAAAACTCCCTTGGGATCGAACACCTACTGATTTAATCAAAAAGATCAACGGTGTCCCCTAGGTTCCAAGAGTAATGATTGCTCGCCTGTGAGCAGGAGGGCTGGATGGCTCCCGGCTGCAGCCTGCCATGCTGACTCACCTTCAAGTCAAACACCTTCTTGTCGCAGATGCTACAGATGTGCGGCAAGTGCAGGGGGGCCACGCCGTGAAAGTCGTTCAGCTCGTGGGCCTGCAGGGGCCGCAGTGACAGCATCCCCTGCTCCTCCTTGGCCCGCCGCCGGCCCCCACTGAAACCCTGTTTGCTGTGATTAAGCCGACCTCCAAAGGAGGGCGGGGTCCTGTCTGAGGTGGGCTCCTCGGGGTCATACAACTCATAGGGCTGGCTGGGGGGTGGCGGCCACAGGTTGGGCCCTGCTGTAAGATCGGGCTTGCCTGGGCCAGAGAAGCCAGGGGGGCTCTCCCACTGGCTGTTCACACCCTGCAGCAGCGCGCCTACCTCGCCCTTCATTCCCCCGGCCTGCTCCACTGGAAATCCACTCGCCACATGTGTCCCTTGGGAGTTGGGTCCATAGAAGTCTTTAGCAAATGCAGCTTGGCTGTCCTGTGCTGCGTGGCTGTAGTGCCCTTCATATGCCACACTGCCTGAGGTGGAGGCTGAGGCTGGCAGGAAGCCAGGCTGACTGTCTGTCTCAGTGCTGTATGCCTGGTTGGTGTTGACCTTGCCATACTCGTAGAATCCTGCAGGAGCAGAGGCAGGGCCCATCTTGCCAAGGCCCAAGATGACTGCTGGCTGGGCAGGGGTCGGAGGCATCACCCCACTGAAAGGGTGCATCACCATGGCACCAGGGGGCTGGCTAGGGAGGCTCACAGAGGGTCCTGGGCCTCGTGTCTGGCTGGGGGGTGAGAAAGCCATGGTGTTTGAGGGAAACCGGGCACCGGGTATGGCTGGAGTATGTTGAGGCACTCCGGTATGGCCGTGGGGGGTGCTGAGTACAGATGGAGGCCTCAGCTGGTTGAAGAGGGGCTGGGACATGGCCACTTTGGAGAGGACTTGGTTCAGGACGGTGGCAGCCGCAGTGTTGTTGGTGACAGCTGTCTGTGCCAACTTCAGCCGGTGGAGGGTGAGCTGGGCTTGCAGTTGAGCCAGTTGGAGACTGGCGGGCGAAGGAAGCAGAGGGTTCGGGTTACTGGCCGAAAACGGGTTCTTGTCCAGGAGCTTGGCAGCACTGCAGGGAGATAGAAGTCTAGATGCACAACTGGTTTTCAATGGGGGGAACAAGGGACTGGTTTTGCTTACCTTGTCTACTCTACACCCGCCCTGTCCCCCACAAACACCCTTCCACACAGGTCCCACATGCAAGCCAGCCTGCAAGCATCTTGCTCACACATACACATCATCCAATCCAGTAGAAATACTGTGTGACAGATTGCTCAGCCTCCCTGGTAACCAGAAATGCAAACTCCAACCATTAAAAACAACTGCTTAGCAAAACAGCAGCACCCAGAAAAAGGAGAGTTTTCAGTGCTGGGGAGATGAAGTGGAATAGATGCAATATCAATAACAGTTTAAACTCATACTTCTAAATTAAAAGGCAGACTGGAAACAGGCCTTCCTCAGTCACATTCTTTGATACAATAATTAAATCCTACAAATCTATTCTAAGAAAATGAGCTAAAATGCAGACAGACTTAATAACCCAAAGATGCTTGATAGTGCATTATTTTAAGAGTCCAAAGTTGAAAGTTACAAAAATTTAGTTATACAGGGACAGGGTATAACTTGAGTAAATCACAATATAGAGGCATAATGAAACTTTAAGTGATTTATTGACTACTGACTATTTTTACTCATATATCTACTTTATTTGATAATAGTTAAGCAGTATACCCAGCATCTAGCTGAAGACAGAAACCTTCCAACATGCTAAATTCTCCCTGGGATGCCAGCAGCAAACATCATCTTGAATATGGTAAAGCCACTGGTTGAAAAAAAAAGATATGAGAAAATCCATATGCTCCAACATAAAGTTTTACAAAGCAGGCCTCCAGATCACACAGAATGATTTGCATATATTTTTACATCAAACCCATTTTCATCCTCGTCCTCATTTCACATCCACAAGCAATAAGAAGTTATGTTCCCTTCAACTCAGCTCTCAAACCCAACAAGTATAAGGACTGATCCAAAAAATACTGAGTAAATAATTAAAATGTGCGATAGTGGGCACAGAAGCCAGCACTCCCAGGATCTTGTGCGTGTGTGTGTGTGTGCGCGCGCGTGTGTGTGTGTGCGTGTGTGTGTGTGCGCGCGCGTGTGTGTGCGTGTGCGCGCGTGTGTGTGTGCGTGTGTGTGCGTGTGTGTGTGCGTGTGTGTGTGTGTGCGTGTGTGTGTGCGCGCGCGTGTGTGTGTGTGTGTGTGTGTGTGTGTGTGTGTGTGTGTGTGTGTGTGAGTACATGCTGTCTGATGTGTACCTTTTAATGGGACCTATGCTGGTAGGTTATGATGTTTTCTGGATCAAAACTCAGGACACATGGTCTGGACATGAGAAAGACTTTCCCAGAAAGTCTGGGATATGTAGTTACCACAGTCAGGGCTCTTGGGTAAGGCCCTATGTCATGGAGCTTAAATTCCCCTTGTGGGTAGTGAGTGTGAGCAGAAAGCATACTTGCAAGGTTAGAACCGAGCAGAATTCTAGGACATGTGAATGGGAAGAATGGGACTGTGAAATTTGAAGTTGGGATTGTCGCGGCCAACTGGGCTGTATGTGAAGGGGGTGGGAACGTTACACAGCTAGGTCACTTGAGTCTCCACTGTGACAGGCTCTGTGTAGCTGACAATGAGTGAGGGTAGAAAAGGGGCTGGGGTAGACTTAGGTGAACAAGAAAAAGGCAGGCATGGAAATTGCATGGCACCCATGCCCTCTTCAACTTGGCAGGCACTTTAAAGATAAACAGAGCTGCTACTTTGGTTGGTAGAGGGGAAAGAGTGGGAAAGTTGCCTGGCTTAATGTTATCACCATGCTCCTGCGTGACCAATGCTGAGCTAATGTCATGTCATGTGAGGGCTCCAGGAGTCTCATGGGACACTCATTTTCCACTCTAATTTCACAGGGAAAGAACCTACGGTTCAGAAAGATGAGATGGCCTACTTAATGAGTACTCAGTCTTGTGAGTACAAAGAAGTGAGGATGCAGAACCCAAACTCCCAACAAAGCTTTGAGAAGTTAAAGAGCAGCAGACAATTAAAGCACCACAGCTTCTTTGCTCACTCTCTCTCTCTCTCTGGAAGCACGTCTCCATGGGCTGCCTCACTGCTCTGTTTGAAGTGAGCTCCCGGAATATCAGGCACACCCACGCTGATACTAGTACAAAACACATTTCAGAGCCAGATAAAAATGACATATTACTCATTCTCCTGTGTGCAAAGCCAAAAACTTGCAATAAGTTGTTAACCAGGTACCAACCAGCAGTCCTGCTGTACTCCAAAAGCAGAACAAGTCAAATTTCTTTGTTAAGATGCTGCCTGGAGTGGGCTTGGGGGTTAAGGTGAAAGGAGGCTGCAGGCTTTTCTTCCTCTGGAGAGGGGAACTGGACGTAGCCAAGCCTTGGGAGCCCAGTGTGACCCAGCTCAAATTGTGGCAACAGCAGAATGGGGAAGCACGAACTGTCAATGTGGACAAGAATACGAAAACCAGGGACGATGGATGGTCAAGAGTCTGATAATAGATTTCTACTGGTGTAGTATTAAGTCATCCGGCTTTAGAAGAGCAATTAAGCTTAACTCAAAACCCTGCCACTCTTCCTACCAGGTTTGTCCACCATGTACTCTGCACTGACAAACAAGGCGATAATGAGGTGCCAACTTGGTTTCCATGACCAGGGTAAGACAAGGTTCTGTTTTTCCTGGAGAAGTCAGCTGCTTTTTCTACACTTGCATTCTGAGCTGGAAAGAACTCATGTTGTATACTTCCCCACATCTCCCAGCGGACTTGGAACAAGGAGCTCTTCTCAAGGAGGTTCTGCGTGGAGAGGAAGTGCTGTGCAAAGTGTGGCTCAGGTGGCAGAATCACACTTATCCAGATTCAGCATGAAGTCAGGAGATGAATCAGACTTTCTCCCCCACTTAGACTCGACCTGGAAAATTGTTATTGTCCTCAACTTCAATCAACCTTGAGTAGAAGTGCTTTTACACCAAATCAATAACCTTCATTAAGGACAAAAATATGATTTTTTTCAGAAGTCTAAACTTCTTAGCTTTCAAGAGTTAATAATTAAAATTCACGTGTATATAACAATCATTTCTTTTCTTAAATTTTTTTTAAATTGGAAAGTCAGATATACAGAGGGGAGGAGAGATAGGGAGGAAGATTTTCCATCTGCTGATTCACTCCCCAAACAGCTGCAACAGCCAGAGCTGTGTTAATCCAAAGCCAGGAGCCTGGAGCCTGTTTTGTGTTTCTCACGTGGGTGCAGAGTCCCAAGGTTTTGGGCCGTCCTCAACTGCCCTCCCAGGCCACAAGCAGAGAGCTGGATGGGAAGCAGGGCCATTGGAATTAGAACCGGTGCCCATATGGGATCTCGGTGTGTGCAAGACAAGGACTTTAGCCTCCATCACTCCAGGCCCCACAATCTTATTTCTGAGCCCAAAACTAGAAGGCATGGTCTCACACAAATGGAGGCTAGAAATGTTTTGTTTGTTTGTTTGTTTTTGCCATTTTCTTACTTCCTTGGTTTGTCCGTGCTGTTTTATTTAACATTTTCTACCTTGTGTTAAAAATCACCACTTAGGCCCGGCGCGGTGGCGCAAGTGGTTAAAGGTCCTCACCTTGCATGCCCGGGATCCCATATGGGCGCCAGTTCTAATCCCGGCAGCCCCGCTTCCCTTCCAGCTCCCTGCCTGTGGCCTGGGAAAGCAGTCGAGGACGGCCCAAAGCTTTGGGAACCTGCACCCGCGTGGGAGAGCCGGAAGAGGCTCCTGGCTTCGGATTGGCATAGTATCGGCCCGTTGCGCTCACTTGGGGAGTGAATCATCGGACGGAAGATCTTCCTCTCTGTCTCTCCTCTCTGTATATCCACCTTTCCAATGAAAGAAATAATAAAAATAAATCTTTAAAAAAAAATAAATAAATAAAAATCACCACTTAAATGCCCTACTATTCCATTAAATATAAGCTCCACGAAGGAAGGGAGTAGATTTGGAAAATTCAAGCATTTCCCCAGCATACCACCTTGTATTTGGTGGGCACTCAGTAACTGCCATGGATTCAGATAGAGACATTCAGAAGGAGGATAATAGCCATGACTCATCAGAACTTGGAGGAAATGTGGCACCTCTTGTTAGACACAGTTCAAAAAGAGAATCAAAGGGGCCACAGTTGTGGCACAGCAAGTAAAGCTGCTATCTGTGAAAGTGGCATCCCGTATGGGTTCCAGTTTATGTCTCTGCTGCTCCAAATAGTTAGATGCAAAAGAGACTTCCACTCAGAGAGACAGTGGTGGGTGGGGGGCTGACCCAACCTGTCAGTATGAACTGATCCCCCCAGAAGCTCTGGGGGACACAGAGCACTGGGCCTGACACTCAAACTCACCCAGAAAAAACCAAGAGGTTGCTTTCTCTTCAAAGTCAGCCTGCTTTACCCAGCAGGCACAGTGCTAATAAGAGAAAGTTTAGAATTACAGGCCCCTACAGGCCCAGTGTGATAACCTCATGGCTAAATTCTAGCCATGCTAGGATCCCATATTGGCAGAGCTTCATATTCCGGCTGTCCCCACTTCCCATCCACTCTCTGCTGGTGGCCTGGGAAAGCAGTGGAGGATGGTGCAAAGCCTTGGGATCCTGCACCCACAGGGGAGATACAGAAGAAGCTGGTTCCTGGTTTTGGACTGGCTAAGCTCTGGCCATTGCGGCTACTTGGGGAGTGAACCAGCAGACAGAAGAGCTTTCTCTATCTCCTTCTCTCTATATATCTGCCTTTCAAATAAATCTTTTAAAAAAAATAGAATTACAGGGGTCCTAAAGATAGAGCTGCCCAACCCCCTCATTAACACAGAACAACTATATACTTGGATGGAGGGGGAACCCAGAGCAGCCCAACCAGCTCCCAGCATCTCCTGAAACAGTTTCGTTTCTAAAATTCTGAACTATCTGTATCAATTGACCTTGAACACCCAAGCATTCAGGATCAGGATGCTTTCAAAAGTTAATGGAAAGTATAATTGAAAGATA